ATGTTATAAAGCAGCTAGAATTTGTAATTAATAATTTTTTACAAGTTGGGGCGTCGGTGGCCGCAAGAGTTTAGGCGTTGATACGGCGCACATCACTGTAAGTAAAGGTCCCGTGTTTGAATCCAGTGGCGCTGCATTCGAACCCGACGTAAATACAAATGGGCTTTTTTTTTTCAAAAACACCGGTACCCTGAGGGTTGATATGACCTCTGCTGTAGCGAGCCCTCGTTAAAAAAAAATCTTTTACACTTCGGTAACGAATATTTTGTACACATAATTGTTTATGATTCTGATTTAATGAGTTCCGTTGTTAATTCGCACGTGTTTCTTTTATATAAAAATAGTTTTTCGCCGTTTTTTACTTTGGAAACACCTGACAGTCGTGGGCATAGGCAATTAATTCAATTCACAACATCACCCTGAAGTCGTATATAAACTTTTGTGCCCGGTTGCCTTACATCCATCCATCATCAGAATGCATGTCACCCACTGCCCCCATTAGTAGCTCTGAGATGATTAACGTTTTTGTCCTCAAGGGTCTGAATAAAACGGGTATATTTAAACCCCGACTGGGATTATTAATGTAGAACATTGTACATCTACTGTAACTGGTTATTATAAAAGTCCTTTTACATTTGAGATTACGTCTCACGCCTCTATCAAAAACCTTGACGGTTTAAAAATATGAATGGACATTTCTTTCCCATCACTAAACTTACAAATTCATTAATGTAGATCTCTGACGTATATTAATAGAGTTTTAATTATAGTAAGAGTGGTTTACTATGTTCCATTATTCAATGAAAATGATAAAATGTGTCTTTGATGACCTCTGAACCATTTTGACGATTTAGTTAAAAGCGAATTTAAGAAAGGCTATTTCAGACTCATTTTGGTACACCAATTTTATCCCCTTTCTCTTTGTACTCATAGATTCCTTTATGACCAGGCAGTCATGTCAGAAACTCTATTTTTATTCTGTTATCCATTCATTATTTTACAAGTTGAGATTAATTATTTACTTCTTCAAAGTTTCTTCTTTTCTTCTGTTTGAATAGCAAATTTATTCTCCTTTTGTATAGAGGTATTTACACATCGCTACAATCCATCTTTGTATAACCGTGTGCATTAATGCCAACATATAAAATATTGTGCCAAGATGAAAGCCCGGAAAGAAAATTCAAAATAATGAGAAACTATGCGGGGTCTACGAGCCGGAAGTCAATTCCGCTGACCACTCGGCTACCGCGGTCCCCAAAACAAAACTTTTCTTCTACAACAACTGTTTTGAAAAAACTAAATAAGTTTCAACTGAACTTTATTTCTTGAACTGTACAATCAATATATCATTGTATAGAAGTCGGTTTTCTACGATATCCAATAAAACGTGTGGTCTAGACAGTAAGTTTTTTTTGTAGTTTTAAATTTGTAATTAGGTGATTTAATCATACTTAGTTGTCTGAATAAAGATGGCGACAGTAGGTACGAATGCACATAAAAAATAGAAAGTAGTTGCCGTTCTCATTTTGCCCACGTATTGTCAAAGTTTTTACCCGAAACGAACGAGAATGCACAGATTATAAAACTTTTAATACCAAAAGGGATCCCGTTTTTTCCCTCGGGAGATCTGAACTGTCGATTGACGCAGTGAGTGCCGGCGATTCGGAAACCAATTACGTTCCAAGCCTACGACGCTCAAAATGACACTGCGCTTATTTTAAGATTTTGATCCTAAATACACGGCAGAATGTAGTGAAAAATATAATACCCTGGGTTCATTGAACGAACTTAAAAATTGGTTTGACAGTTTAAACCAAACTTTTTGTTAAAAAAAAAAGTCATATTTCTTCGAGATTTTTGACTATCAATTAAAACTATATACTCAAAATAACATTAAATAACATTAAAAAGTTAAAGCCTGTGTTTTTTTAATGAAAAACACTTTTTAATAATTAACCCGATGTAATAATTCTCCACCATACAGACTATATTCACAAACAGCAACAATGAAGCTATCTCTACACTAAAATAATTCAACTTTTACACAGTACATTGGAACTGAATGTATCACTCACGCCTGACATCCGAACAACATTATTGCCACTGCGGTTCATCCTCTGTTAAATTACTGGCGTGGGTCAGACCACGACTATAATCCTTGACACATTTTGTACCATTAAAGGCCCATAAAACCCTAACACTAATTCATTCTAAACAAAACTGTAAAGACTGTTTTAATTCCACATTTATTCTACCTAGCCTACTTAAGTATTTATCCGACTCTTTCATTTTGTACTTCTTATTATTTTTAATATATATAAATATATATATGATAAAATAATACTATTTTTCATATTATTTTAATAAAATAATTTATTACCTAGTTGATGTAACGTTGCGTACGTAAATCTACCTTAATCATTAAGGTCGTAACGGCGTCCAAGACCGACACTTACGCAACACTGACGAATCTTGCTGGTTTAGTGTACAGGGTACGCCCTAATCGCAAATATTTATTTCTCTACAAATAGAAAATACTAAAAATATATTATTTATTTATTCTTCATCGTTTCATCTATTTTCTTCCTTCATTTAAAAATGGTCTAAATAAATGAGAAAATAATTATAATTTTTTAGTCGTTTCAATTCAATTTACATTCAGTTTCACTGAAAAATGTGATCTTGTTTATTTTCTTACCTCTCTCTCTCTCACTCACTCTCGCTCTCTTTCTCTCTCTCTTTCTCTCTCTCTCTCTCTCTCTCTCTCTCTCTTTCTCTCTCCCGTTAACTCTCTTTCTTTTTGCTCGCTCACTCTCTCTCTCTCTTTCTTCCTCCCTCTTGTGCTCTCTCTTTCTCTCTTTCTCTCTTTCTCTCTCTCTCTCTCTATCTATATACCTGTCTATCTACCTTTCTCTCTCCCTTTATCTATCTTCCTTTCTCTCTCACTCTCTTTCACTCTCTTTCTCTCTTTCTTTTTTCTTTCTCACTCTCTCTCCCTCTGTTTCATTCCCTCACTTATTCATCCCGCTTCACTAAAATTTGAAACAAAATGAATGTGGTCCTTTCCTGAAAACGTTTCTTTCTTGAAAACTTTTCTGTATTATTTTTAATATAACCAACTAATATATTAACTAGTTGGTATAGCGTTGCTTATGTAAGTTAAACAGGTCATAACGGCGCCCAGGACCGACACTTATGCAACACTGACAAGTCTTGCTGGTTTAGTGTACCGGGTACGCCCTAATCGGAAATATTTATTTCTCTTCAAATAGAAAATACTAATATTATATTATCTATTTTTATTGTTTCATCTATTTTCTTTCTTCATTTAAAAATGGTCTAAATAAATGAGAAAATAATTATAATTTTTTAGTCGTTTCAATTCAATTTACATTCAGTTTCACTGAAAAATGTGATCTTGTTTATTTTCTTATCTCTCACTCTCTCTCTCTCTCTCTCTCTCTCTCTCTCTCTCTATCTATCTATCTATCTATCTATCTATCTTTCTTTCTTTCTATGTATCTATCTATGTATCTTTCTCTTTCCCGATAACTCTATTTCTTTCTCTCTCACTCTCTCTCTCTCTCTTTCTTTTTTCTTTCTCACTCTCTCTCTCCCTCTGTTTCATTCCCTCACTTACTCACCTCGCTTCACTAAAATTTGAAACAAAATGAAAGTGGTCCTTTCCTGAAAACGTTTGTTTCTTGAAAACTTTTCTTTTATTGTTTTTAATATAACCAACTAATATTAAATAGTTTGTGTAGCAATACTTATGTAAGTTAAACAGGTCCTAACGGCGCCCAGGACCGACACTTATGCAACACTGACAAGTCTTGCTGGTTTAGTGTACCGGGTACGCCCTAATCGCAAATATTTATTTCTCTTCAAATAGAAAATACTAAAATTATATTATTTATTTTTTCTTCATCGTTTCATCTATTTTCTTCCTTCATTTAAAAATGGTCTAAATAAATGAGAAAATAATTATAGTTTTTTAGTCGTTTCAATTCAATTTACATTCATTTTCTCTGAAAAATGTGATCTTGCTTATTTTCTTATCTCTCACTCTTTCTCTCTCTCTCTCTCTCACACACACACAAACACTCTCTCTCTCTCTCTCTCTCTCTCTCTCTCTCTCTCTCTCTATCTATCTATCTATCTATCTATCTATCTATCTATCTATCTATCTATCTATCTATCTATCTATCTATCTATCTATCTATCTCTATCTATCTATCTATCTCTATCTATCTAACTAACTATCCAACTGTATCTCTATTTCTATCTATCATTTTTTCTCTTACTCTCTTTCTCTCTCTCTCTCTCTCTCTCTCTCACTCTCTCTCTCTCTTTCTCTCCCTCTCAAAAATTTTCATCAAGTTCGTACTGAAAGATGGCAAATGATTGTCTAAACTTGAAGAACAAAGGGACGCTTTCGTAAGAGTGCCACACTTGGAAAACTCGATCTCTGATTAATTGAATATTTGTTTGGAAAGAAGAACGGCCGGTCGAGTAGTTTTTTTAGAGTTGTATTGTTCAATAATTGTTTGCTCTATGTAGCCCGAAAGGCATTGTTGTTCTTCAGCCGCGGGCCTTCTTTGTTCCTCGGCCCCAGCGCGGGGAAGTTGGCGCGTCGGTCAAAAAAAAGGAGGCGGATTTTCTAACAATGACGCACTCTGATTTCAGACAAGGATATTTATTTTGGGTATTATAATAACCCTTTTTACTATGATTGGAACTCAAATCTGATTGTTATGGACCAATATTGACCGAAAACCCGGTTTCCGGAGAATTATTTACTGTAACCTTGAAGCCAGTGTTAGTTTTTGGCTTCAGCTCTGAAAAACAAGTCTCTTAAAGCCGATTCTCAAGTTTCATGTTAAACCAAAACGCCGTAAATGTTCTAACTTCCTCATTTGTTCAGACTCGCTTTTACAGCTAGGAATTTCCATTTTTTTCTTCTTAAACAAACTCATTATTTTATTAATATGTTTTTACAGACGCAGCTGAATGCGAAGTGGTTTCAAGCGACTCAGGATCTTATGTACGTCCTCCTGAGGCATAACGTCAAGAAGGTAAGCTTGATTACTCATTCAGATATTTCTAAACAACAAATTTAATACAACGATTAAGTGCCAATTTGGAAACTGTTATACTCAGTAATTTGAAGGTAATTATGAGAATCATATCTTGGCCGGACAATCTACACCAAAATTACTAAGGGGTTTAAGGTTACATTTGAAGCCAATTTGTAATAATGCAATCTTAACTAACTTGTTTTACAATTTACGTCCCGGTCATGATCAAGAATCAAACACTAAATACAGTTCATTTAGTATAATTGTGGTATATTTAGCAAACACAGTTGGAAATTGTTTAGCGTCGAATGTACTGAATTCGGTGAAAGCCTGAAATACGTTATCAATGAGCTGCGCCATAAATGCTGCTGTTCAGCAGGCGCAAATGTACTGATTACTAAGCTCAAAAACAAAGCTTGCCACGAACAAATTACCTTTTAATTGAGACGCGATTAAATTATCTTTACGATTTTCCTATCGGTTTATCTTTCGTATCCCATTGATTCATTTTGGTGAATAATTACAGCTTTTTAACTAAGGTATTTTTTAAAATCGTTAACCTTGTATTGTCGAAATTCGGAATTAAATTCAATACATTCACGGTTGTAGAGGGTCGAGTAAAGCTTGTCTAAATGTAAATTGGTCTATTCGAATGGCTTCCCTTTTCAGAAGTAGTTATCATCACTGATCATCTCTACGTGTTTCCTGGTTACATGGCATCAGGATCAAGGTTGCCACGTTAGTATAAATCTTTGTGTCATACAATTTCTCTAGTGACTAAAATGGTTTAAACATTTTTTATTATTACCAACTTTTATTATTTTTACCAAGTTATTCTTAATTATACATATACTTAACTGGAAAAAACGGAGAGTCGAAATGAGTAGCGATCGATGTCAGGGTGACTCAAGTGGTTAGAGGAGCGGGGTATGAGGTCGTGGGTTCGAATCCCGCCTGGGAAACAAATTTTTACATTTCGAAAAAAAATCTGTATTAATGTGTGGTGAATAGTGACCGTTAGTCGATGATTATTCAGACATCGTGAGATGCGGTCTGGTGTGATGTAGGTTTCAGAAAAACATTTTATTTATCGTGCCAACGTTTCGATCTTTATTGAGATCATCTTCAGGACCTTGTGTTGTCTGCATTTCAACAAAAAAGTTTTCTGATTGATAGCCGATGTGAGTTTCTTCTCATTATTGGCGATGTCCTTCAGAATACTTTTTGTTTCGTGTCCATATGAGGTTGAAATTTATTCATAGTTCTTTCCATGTTCTTAGTTCTTCACATGTAGAAATGTGTGGTGATTAGTGACCGTTAGTCTATGATTATTCAGAAATAAGAGAACTTTTTTGTTGAAATGCAGACAACACAAGACCCTGAAGATGTTCTCAATAAAGACCGAAACGTTGGCACGATAAAGAAAAATTTTTTCTGAAATCTACATCACACCAGACCGCATCTCACGATTTCTGAATAAAATGTGAATTTTTAATTTAGTAATTTTTATTACTGTTTACACTGACCTACTTTGAATTCAGTTAATTTATTCTTCTGATATCTAATTCTCCTGATAGATATTTTAATCTACTGTAAACAAACATATACTCTAATGAATATGTGATATGACTTTGATAGAAACTAAATTCAATTTTTTAACATGTTTAGATGTTGTCGAAGTCGGCAGTAAACTGGTGTCCAGACGAACTCTGACAACAAGATCCATTCGATTTTTATTTCACCGACTGTTCGAAGTTACAGGTTCTCGATTTATTTTAAAGTACCGTAAAAAGAATCTAAAATCCAGAAAAACAAAATCGTTTCTTTTGAAGTAAATCCAATAAAAGTTTTACATTAAAGGCAGGCGACCAGAACTTTCAAACCTTTAGGAAGGAATTTCGTACTAGAAGAAACACATCCCTCGAGACCCTTCATTCAAACTGCGATAAGATAAGGACCAGCAAAGTTTGAAAATAAATCAATGGATACATTTTTTTTATCTAAAGTAAACGTTCGTGACTTGAGGTCGTTTATGGCCACGATGTTATTTTTGTTGAAAGCATGCCTTCTTGGTATCAGTATATCATATTTAAAAGTTCGAGTCCCAAAAATAAAAGTTAACGTTCTAAAAACAGACAGACCATTAACATTGTTTTTCAATTGTGATGCCCATTTTGAGAAGAGATGGAATGGGAGCTTCCTTACATCAAAGAAACGCAATGGTATAGTAGGCAAGACTGCTAGGATTTCCAGATGATTGGCTCAAAAAAAGAAAAGTAGAAACGTAAAATAGAAAAAAAAAGCAAAATGTGAAATAAATTAACATTTTTTTAAACCTCTTGGAATACTCCTAATTTAAAAAAAATATTTTTAGGAAGAAAAAAAAGGTTTAAAATGTAATATTTTCTGGCGTGGAAACAACTACAATAATTTTAAAAAATAAATAAATAATTACAAAACACACTGATTAGCTTGATTAGAAATCTAATCATAAGCTAGACTACTTAAGTTGAAAAGTTTGCAAGGCGCTGAAGCTACTTTCATCTTCTTAAGAGTGCTAGAGTTTGCAGATGAATGGCGTAAAAAGAAAGTAGAAACGTAAAGTACAAAAAAAAGAAAATTGTGAAATAAACATTTATTTTAAAAAAACCTCTTAGAATACACCTAATTTAAAAAAAAAAACTTTTTAAAAATAGAAAAAAGGTTTAGAAAGTATATATGATATTTTACTGGCGTGGAAACAACTACAAAAACTTGAACAGATGAACAAATAAATAATTGCATAACATACTGTTTAATATAACATTTATATAAAAAACACGTGTCTTTTGGAATACTCCTAATTTTAAAAAAATCATTTTAGGAACACAAAAAAGGTTAAAAATATTAACATTATATTTTACGAATAAATAAAAAAATAATTACATAACATACTAATTAGCTTATTATAAAGCAAGCGAGACTACTTGAGTTAATAAGTTTGCAAGGCGCTGAAGCTATTTTCATCTTCGACTCTTCCTAAGACTGCTACGGTTTACAGATGATTAACGTAAAAAAAGAAAAGGAGAAACGTAAAGTAGAAGAAAAAAGAGAACTTTGAAATAAACAAACATTTATGAAAAAGACCTCTTGGAATACTCTTAATTTTAAAAACACTTTTTATGAAAAGAAAAAAGGTTAAAACCGTGCATATAATATTTTGCTGGCGTGGAAACAACTACAATAATTTTAAAAAATGAATGTTAAATAAATAATTGTATAACATACTGATTAGCTTAACTATAAATCAAGCTGGAAGCTACATTTATGTTCAACTCTTCTTTTTCTTTAGTGTAGAGTGCACGACAAAATTTTGTGTCTTCCATCGTCTTCAAATGGGCTACAAACCGGGCTGTTGAATCTTTTAAGATGGTTCAAGGTATGCGTTGAAATTCCCGTACAATCGCGAATCGCCTTGTTCCGCCCTCAATATTTATAGCATATAATGTTTGCTATTGTTTATATCCTGAACTCGAGATCCCATCACGATGGAGCGAGGATTTTACCGAACGACATCCATCTTTCGTTCGATAAGAAAATGGAACAGGTGTTGAATTAAAACGTTCCACCGTGTATACAAATAGAAGCCATTAATCTGCGGTGGCTCAATTCACACGCTTTCTATTCTAAGGAGGGATTACAAATATGAAGTTTGGGGAAACATGCTTTGATTAGGCAATTTCCCGAATCCGCTTAATTCCAGTTTTCCATGAAAATGACTATTTTAGGCAAACAAGAAACTTAGTTGGAGAAAAGCATTTTTTTAAATTGATTTTTTCTCATGATGGGAATCACCCACATATATGCAACTTTTACACCAAATTTCTTGTTTATTGAAAAGTTTTCGATACATGATCATACTCCACCCCAATAAATCCGACTCCGAATTTAAAATTAAAACCTTTCTAACTCCGAAATATTTTCGTCGTGTCATGGATTTCAATGATCTTTAAAAGCTAGATATTTTTAAATAAAAAATGGCTTGGTCAATATGAATAACTGCTTTTTTTTTTTAAGAAATGCGGTCTCTGCTTTAATGTTTTTGGCTATTTCATATTTCTAATGTGATTTCAAGGTTAAGTAGTACTTTAACAAACAAAATTTTTTTTTTTTCCTTAACAATTATGTAAACTGAGGGGGCGTCGGTGGCCGCAACGGTTTAGGCGTTGACACGGCGCTCATCACTGTAAGGTAAAGGTCCCGGGTTCGAAACCAGCGGCCCTGCATTCAAACTCGACATACTTACAAATGGGCTTTTTTTCAAAAACACCGGCACCCCGAGGGTTGATATAACCTCTGCTGTTGCGAACCCTCGTAAAAAAAATAATAATAATAATCTGAGCGGCTTTAGCTTTGAAGTTTCAACAAAACTAAACGAAAAAATATAGAAGTTAAAAACATACGTTAAATAACTACATTGAAAAGCAAAAAGTGGCCATCAATAATATTTTTAATTATCTCTTAGACAATCCTCCAATCATTATCTTACAACAATATTTGGGGCGTTTTAAAGGATCAGAGATAAATAAAGCACAGATAAAATCTACCAGTTGTGTTTACGATTGGATTTTACAAATAGTCTTTGTTGGTTTTTCTGTGAAGCTTCTTTCTAACTAATTAAGGTTTTTAGTTGAGATAAAATAAGTCAGTGTTACGAGCGGGATTCGAACCCACGACCTTCGGCTTGATACGCCGAAGGTCGTGGGTTCGAATCCCGCTCGTGACACTGACTTTTTTATCTCAACTAAAAACCTTAATTAACTGAATGATATTAATTGGTCAAGCGGACCACGAAAAATATTGAATTTAACTTCTTTCTAACGTTCCAGTGGTTTGATTTTTTTAAGTTGTACCATTTTTACGTTTCAAAATGGTTTGAGTGATGGTTTTAAGTGGTACAGATTCGGCTAGAATCATAGGTTGGAAGGTGATAGAATTAAGCGTTTGTGGTCACGGTTAACATTCCCATAACAACAGCCCGAAGGGTCTTCCAACGCTACCCATATACTGCAAGTCACTCACGAAAGGATGAATCCTGTCACATCTCAGAAAGATGATCGTTTCTTTATGTGTTGTATTGTTTCGAATCTACACCGTAAACGACATTCTACCGCTGTTGAGATCAAACAACCTCTTCAAAAATTTAGAAATGTTAACGACTTTCAGAAGGTGGATTATGAAAAGGCCTGCCACTGGTCCTACTTCTGACAAGACACAGAACATCGGTTGTTTCACAAGAAATCACATCATTAAATTAGTCTGAGAAAAATTGGGCTATAATCTTGTTTTTATGTGAATCAAGGTTTTGTTTGAGGTTTTCTGACGAGAGCTTGGAGAAGAAAAGAAAAGCGGTATATCACCGCAATATTTTCACTCCAGACTTTATGCCCATTCCCATATCAGTTCTTATCTTTGAACCATCGTTATACCATACAAAAGCTCCAGGTTTTTCTTCGTTTGTTTAATCTTTCCATTGTGCTATATTTTCAATAATTATGTTGAATTGTTTTGTAAGTCCATTATTTTGCGTCAGAAATATTATGGTGATTAGTGATCGTTAGTCGGTGATTATTCAGAAATCGTGAGATGAGGTCTGGTGTGATGTAGGTTCGATGTAAGATCGAAACGTTGGCACGACAAATAAAATGTTTTTCTGAAACCTACATCACATCAGACCGCATCTCATGATTTCTGAATAATTATCGATTAACGGTCACTAATCACCACACACTTAAGGAAATTTTGAATGAATTTATTAAACTTTTTTAATTTTGATTCGAAATGCTCTCCACTCTCCGAAATGTATTTTCGACGCACTGGCGTAGCATTAAACCCGCAAAACCTCCCGAATAGTCAGAAATAGTTTTAGCCTGTTAGTGACTTTACCTTTTATATATAAGTTTTAATAATATTTATTTAATTATGATGTTTTGAAAGAAAATTCACTAAACCAATTGAACATCATTTAGTGAAAGAATAAATTTAACTAAATTTATTACATGGTTTTGCTCTTAATAACGCATTAAAATAAAAACTAGGAAAAATTCTTTTAATTTGGTTTACATTAAAATAAGTATTTTGTAGTTAATATGGCGATAAAATGCATATATTTGAAGTAAACAATAAAACATGAATGTCCAGCGTTTTTGCCTTTGAATGTATGAAGGGTGGCAGTTTGAGACTACGTTCCATTGCAGCTGTGGGTGTTATTTTAAGAGCACCAGTCATGCTAACGTTTTGTAATCCCTTGCCTTTCTTTGTTATATTTTTGTCCACCGTATGTGGCTTACAACGGTGACTACCGCAATGTATGTCCATGAGGTAGGATTAAGTCTCTATGTTCTTCTATAAAGTCTTTAGCATATCCAATTTACATACCTTTACCTCTGTTCTCTTAAGTTTGTAAACGTTTACTTGAAAAACAGTGAATTGTTAGATAGCCAACTAATTTAGGCTAATGAAGATTAATTAAATAACGAAATAGTCAAAAAAATCAATTGTTGCGATAAAAAAAACTAGTTGGCAAGAGAAAAACTGAATTATTTGTTCGGATATTGTTTGCATAAACATGGCAAAGGAAATTAAAATTTTGGGTTTCATTATAAAACAATAAGGCAGGTTTTTCAATAGTAGGGTGAAAAATCAGACAATTATTTGTTAAGTTGTAAAATAAGAAAAAACTAAAAACATTTTCCATTGTAAGTTTTTATTTATTACTGAATATTAAGGAACCAATAAAAATCTTTTAATTATTAATGGTTCAAGATTTCACCTTTTTGTTTAACGAGGTATTTCAACTAGGAGGTTACATAAAACCACCGGGTGCCGGTGTTTTTGAAAAAAACCGTTTTGTAAGTATGTTCCCGCTGGATTCGAACCCGGGACCTTTACCTTAAAGTGGTGAACACCATGTCAACGCCTTAATCACGTTAGTTTACCGACGTTTTACATTTTAAAAAAAATCAAAAATAAGTAATAGCCAAAATTAGTCGTTTAGAATTATTTTCAACGAAAATAAATAATTATTCAGAAATCGTGAGATGCGGTCTGGTGTGATGTAGGTTTCAGAAAAACATTTTCTTTATCGTGCCAACGTTTCGATCTTTATTGAGATCATCTTCAGTGCCTGGGATTTACGAATATTGTTAAAATTTAACACAAACATGTAGGATGTGGAAAAAAGTGAATTTATACAATGCAAATAAATATTTTTATTTTATATTCAATCAAAGTATTTCTACTCACTCAGGCATCCCAGGCCTTGAAGATGATCTCAATAAAGATCGAAACGTTGGCACGATAAAATAAATGTTTTTCTGAAACCTATATCACACCAGACCGCATCTCACGATTTCTGAATAATCATCGACAAACGGTCACTAATCACCCCATAGAAAACAAATAATTTTGTACTCTTTAGTTAATGATGTTTACAAAAAATCAGAATAAAACATTTTTATCTGAAATTATACAAAATGCTACTTAGCTTATCTAATATAAAAACAGCATTCGTTTATTGCTTTCTTCTTAAACTTTGAGTAGTGAGAAAAAATACAGGAACTTAGCTAGGGCTGAACTACGCTGCCAAATATTTCTTCTAGTTTGCACACAAACACACGCAGAATGGGCGAATATGATGAAACTTCTCAGAGTAGTTTAGTTAATTTGTTAATTTGTCGATCTGGTTGCCAAGTCAGAATGCTTTCGTTGGTAGTTTCCCTCAACCGACTTAAAAGCATCGTAATCTAAACTGTGCTAATTTAAAATCCTTATCTCAATCGTTTCTACAACGGGGAGATAATAGCTGAATGGAATTATCAATTTTCATGTGACGGAAAAAAACCACGATATAACGGAAATTGTAAATGATCTGCAATCAACGATGTAATCCATCACGTTCAGTCACGCAGGCCGAAAGTTTCCTCAAGTCCTCCCATTTATAAATACACTTTTGTATTTTTATTTGGACTGGAATTGCTTCCATTCAAAGAAAATCGATTGAGACGTTTTCTGCGGTGTGCTTTGTTGATGTATACGGTTCATAATGTAAATCAGTTTGTTTAGAATGGAGAAACAACGGGGCCAATTACTGTGGTGTTTAAATAATAAGCAGAAGCATAGAATAAGAAAGGACTTACTTTATTTGTAAAAAATAACAATAATTGTTCTGAATATTATTAAGAAAATTAAAAGAGGCATGAAAAATCGTAAATCGTTAAAATCTGTTACCAATACTTGATTGGTTTGCCAACAGCAAATTTATACTTATTGACTATAATACAAAATTATTAATAGAATGTATTTTTTCTCTTTTAGGTCTTCAAAAACACTTTTCTTGCCTATTACACGATCTACGACGTTAAGAACGAGTAAGTGATGGTGTCATCAATCACCCTCTTCATTGATCAAACCTGTATTACATCTCTTTCACGTCATTGCTTTGAAAATGCGAAACCTTTTATTTTCTCTCCTCCTTAACTTTTTAGCTCCCAGCTTGTCATACCGTCCGACTAGAAAGGGATTAATATAACTCGTTGTTTTTTGCAGCCACTTGATCCCCGTAAGACTGAAAGGAGTGCCCAAAGTTCAGCAGAGCAAGCTGCGCGCGGCCCTCTGGTGCGGCAACACGTCCCGCCTCATCCTCGTGGGTGAAGACAACAATATTTACTTCATGTCTTCGCCGATCGATCAATCCGCCGACTACCAGATCACCGACACCGGTGAGGACGGCATATTCTACAACGGTTTGCCTGATTGGCTGTACCAAGGTGAGCCGTTAAGAACCGATTTAAACTCGTCTTACCCCGGGTGACGGATTATCTCGGATTTGTTTGTTCAGAGGAGATCTTCGAAGGCGAGACGGCCTCGCTTTGGTGTTCCGAAGACGGCTCGGTTTTGCTCTACGCCTCCTACAACGACAGCGCAGTCCGAACTTTCAAGTACCCGTCCTTGGACAGCGCTAAGTCCGGAGGGGACTTTCCGTCGACCGGTTCACTTCCATATCCTACGGTACGCTATTTCTATTCAGCCGCACATTTCCCCACTTCGCTCGCTCAACTCGCTCAAAATATTATCTTTTTTAGCCAGGAACGGCGAATCCCGCTGTGGAGCTCTGGTTGGTCGACCTAAACTCTACGGATAAGCCCCAGGTGCTTATCGAACCGCCGCAAGTCTTTCAACATAAGTAAGTAAGAACAAATTCATATATTAGGACCAAACCAAAAATAAATTCTCTCTCACTGGCAAGTGATATTACATCGATGAAAATAATTATCATTAAAAAAAATGGTTAGTATTCACCAGAAAAAAAGCATAAATAAAAACAAAATTAAACCGGCCAATTCTAGTTTTCATACAATTTCCAATAAATTGTTATATTTCATTTTCGTCGAATTTTCAGGAAAATTAGTTTTATCTTGCAACCAAATAATGGAAGTAGTTTTGAATAATGTATAAATATTTAACGTTAGTAAGTCATTTTTATTTAGTTATTTGTTTTTAATGGTTTAGAGCTTTGTTTGAAGTTACACTGAAGTTTACACTGATCTCTAACTCATCAAGCGTATTCTGTAATAAGGCGTTTTCGAATCCGGCTTCACGTCCTCACCAATAATGGCCAAGCTGTGAAGTTTAGTTTGCTCTGAGAGTTCATCCTTTTATTCCGCGTCTAACAATACGCAAAATCTCAGCAAAGCAATCTTCACCCGTCGCCGTATCATCTCTCTTCCAAACAACTACAACTTCGCTCCCCTCACAGCAACCGATGTCGTCCGGTATTTGTGACTTCACATTGACAAAGTTTCACTTGGAACCCACAAAATCGACATTCAAAAAATAGCACTGAGCAATGATTACTTATAAAAGTACTTGCCAACAGATCGAAACACTACGAACCAACGCCTCATCTAGATCAATCTGGACGCAATGAATTGAAGTGTGGGTTCAACCAAGCATTCTAACCTCCAATGAATCCAATCACTACAAATTCCTTCCACCAAACTTGACAATCAAAACATAGTACTACTTGACAACAGATAGAAAACTCGCTACAAAATATACGCTTCATCTTCAGATTAATACTAGAACCATCTGGACGCACGGAATTGAGCTGTGGGGTTCAGCCAACTTTCTAACCTCCAAAGAATCCAGTCACTCCAGTACAAAATCCTAGAAATCATTGCCCAAACTTGATACTTTATATTCAACGTAACTATCCACCCAGGCTTCGAAATCCAATTTTTCCTCGAAACGGCAAGTAATCGATACAGACTTCTTCCTAACACCACGAACCCTCACCAACTCTTTCCAGTTCAACACCTTTCAACTCAATCCTTTCTGAAAATCCCCTAAAACGTCTAAATCGCGAAAGGCCTCTTGATTTCCTCGGTAATGAGGAAAGTGAATAATTTTCAATTAATTAAGGTTTTTAGTTAAGATAAAAAGTCAGCGTCACGAGCGGGATTTGAACCCACGACCTTCGGCTAGATACGCCGCTGCTCTACCACTTGAGCTTCCGTGACTTCGATCCACTCAGAACTAACTTCCCATCTCAACCCCACCTTTGAATTTTCCCTCCTTTTTGCTATTTTTCAAATGTCGTGTAATCTATTTGATTCTCGGCGACAAATGAAATGGCCACGGAGAGCTTTTAGTGAAGTATACTTCATTCACTAGTTTTCGTGATCCGCTTGAAAAATGGCAAAAAGGAGGGAAAATTTAAAAACAAAAAGGTGTGGTTGAGATGGAAAGTTAGTATTCGAGTGGATCGAGGTCGCGATAGCTCAAGTGGTAGAGTAGGGGCGTATCTAGCCGAAGGTCGTGGGTTCGAATCCCGCTCGTGACACCGACTTTTTTATCTCAACCAATACCTTAATTAATTGAAAGATATTAATTGAACAAGCGGTTCAAGAAAACTAGTGAATTTAAAAAGTAAATAATGCTATGATAGGAGTGTAATTAAGGATTAATATAAAATTCATAAAGACTAAAATTGCTTGTAGTACCAGGAACTGTTGTAATATATATATATATACAAAAAATTATCGAATTTGTTCATTTATCGTTTTTTTTTACTTGTTTTATGATGGGATTTTGTAATTTTTACCGGTTTCTAGTTTACATTTTAGGCCTTTTTTTCATTTGTTCAAATTAAAATGATCAATTATGAAAGTATATTAATTGGTCTTTGGCATCTGAACACCAACTCCCTCCGGGAAAGGAAAAGGGCGGGCGGCAAAGGGATGAAGCGGAACATATTTCTGCCAATCCGTGCATTATAAATTGCGCTTAGATTCTCGGAGTTCTAGAAAGGCATAAACCTCCGAGGAATTCTCGGAAAGAATTTAAATTGGAATTCCGGTGAGAATTATGCACTTCACTCTAGAGGCCTGTTGAAATATCGGTGAGAACTAATTTATGATGCCATTTTCACGAAGAAAAGTCCAACGACAAGATTAATCTATTTAACAAATAGGAAATTCCTTCAATACAATTATTCTTAGGTTTTGAAGTTTAAATATATTAACCTCATAATGTTGTTACTCATAATCTTGATTCTATTTGAATAATAACGTCCGATTGTTAAAGTGTTGTTGCTTACAGAGAATATTATCTTACGTCTGCTGGCTGGGTTAACCACAGGAACGAAGAAATCGTTACTGTCTGGTTAAACAGGCCTCAGAATCTTAGCTTAGTAAGTATCTGCAAGTCTCCCGACTGGAAATGCGCTGAGGTAAGCTTTGCCTTTATAATCGATAAAATCAATATAATTAAACCGAACGACTCGCCTCTTTGCAGACCCACGCTGAGCGGGCGCCGGAGAACGGCTGGGTGAGCATCAAAGGGCATCCGGTGTTTTCCGAAGATGGGGGCAGCTTCCTGCTGATGTCGAGGATCCAAGAAGGCGAGACGGGAAAGTTCACCCACATCAAAGAGGTGACCCTCTCGGAGGAGCAGAGGATAAGCGTCATTTCCCACGGCAAGTATCAGGTCACAAGCATACTTGCCTGGGACTATGTGAACAACGTTGTGTAAGTAACTTACATCGTTTAATAACAGTTCAAAAGTTTGGAATTAGTTGTATGTTGAGTTGTTATATCAGTGGTTTCCATTCATCTTAGAAATTTTATAAATAAATTTGAAACAAACAAAATCATAATTTTAAAGATCATTGTTATTTTGTGCCAAATACGAATATTTGTTTTTAATGTTAGATATTATTTGGGGACTGATGGCGAAAAGGCCGGTCAGAGGCATCTGTACGTTGTGAAAAACCCCAAAAACGGTCGTGCACCTCTGAGCAAAGCGACTCCGATGTGCGTGACCTGTGATCACTCGACTCACCGCTACGACAACTGTAGCTATTTTAACGCTTATCTGCCACCCCCTCCGTACACGAGTAAGACGAATCGAAGCGTAAACCACGTCGGTCACTAACTAGTTCTCTCTTTGCAGAAGGCATATCGCGGTACATCGTCGAATGCCTGGGTCCCGGCCTCCCCCTCGCAGGGGTGCACACGTGGTTCAACCACACCATCCTCATCGAGAAGCTCTACACGACGAGGCCCAAGTACGGCCCCAAGCTGTCGACTTTGGCGCTGCCGTTGCAGAGGACTTTCCACGTGCCGCTCCCGCACGGACAGGGCAAAGCCACCGCTCAGCTACTCCTTCCCCCTAGCTGGAGAGAAGAGCTGAGAGATGCCGCATTCCCGGTTTTGGTCGAAGTGTAAGTACATGAGATATTTCGCCCTTTCTGAAAGCACTCACTGTTTATGTATTTTCAGAAACGGCAAACCGGGCGCGCCTCTGGTGAGTGAAATGTTCTCGATCGACTGGGGAACTTACATGTCGAGCCAGTTCGACGTTGTTTATATTAAAATGGACGTTATTGACGAAGGGAGTAACTTCGTAAATATGAGGTTCGCCGGTGTGCAAATCCAAGACTACATCACAGTCATAAGGTATGCCCATACCATCGATCCTTATGCTTAAACTCGACATCCCGTCCTACATCAAATACAGCTAACATGCCATAAGTTTGATTATCAAAGTTGGACATACCAAGCACTATCAACAAAAATATAAAATTTAATTCACTACTTTCGTGGTCCGCTTGACCAATTAATTAAGGTTTTTAGTTGAGATGAAAAAAAGTTAATGGCACGAGAGGGATTCGAACTCACGACCTTCAGCTAGATACGCCGCTGCTCTACCACCTGAGCTATCATGGCCTCGATCCACTCGGACATCAACTCCCCATCTCAACCCCACCTTATGAGTTTTCCCTCCTTTTGCGATTTTTCAAAACTCATAAGGTGGGGTTGAGATGGGGAATTGATGTCCGAGTGGATCGAGGTCACGATAGCTCAGGTGGTAGAGCAGCGGCGTATCTAACCGAAGGTCGTGGGGTCGAATCCCTCTCGTGCCATTAACTTTTTTTCATCTCAACTAAAAACCTTAATTAATTGTCAAAAATATAAAATGTTTTGATTCTGTTCTAACGAGTCTGATTCTGCTTTGATTGATGCAGCCTGATGTACAAATCATTTTTTTATTAGTATATTATCAACTTCATTAGGTCTAGTGTTCATAGTAGTTTTGCATGGTAAAAAATCAGATGAAACTTTTACGAGGATGCAGAAATGACAGGCATTCTTTTAAATTTTGAAAATTTTAATACCAAATTAAATATATCGGGGACCGCCGTACTCGAGTAATTAGGTAGGTCAGAGTCTCGGCTTATTGACCCCCACGGTCTTAGGTTCAATTCCCACCGTCACCCTGGAATTTTCTTTCACGCTCCCGTTAACCCAAAAATACAATTCAGTCAGTATCGCATCCTCTGGCTATTATTGAAAAACATAAGCTAAAAAAAAAAAAATTAATTTCAAAAATATTTAAAAAATCGTTACCTAATTAATAATAAGCAAACATTGAGATGGAATTTTCGTTTACAAAATTTAGTAGTTTTAGATCTATCTGCCCTAAACATTTTTTATTGTTTCGTGCAGAAAGAGTATGATTAGTTCTCGAAGGGTCTATCTTTCACGAATGACTCAAAAACTAAAGAAAGCGTGGGATGTGCCTGGCATGATCTCCAATTGGAATGATGAAGGCTCTACTATTCGTTATGGAAAATATAATTATGGAATTACTAGTTGTACTATAAGATTCAGTAAGTTGTATAGAATGTAGTTAAAAAAATTTACCTTACTTAGCTCGGGTGGCTGAAATATCGTATGAATTGCAAAGGATAAGGTTATTGCTACGTATTTTTGTTGGATTCTTGGTCACTCCGGAACCCATGGTGATGTTGAAGTGGATAACCGGGCTAAGCGAGCCATAAAGGATGGTATAGGACTGGAGTTTCCGACCTCATCCTCAGATTTTAATTACCATGAAAATACGCAAGACTAAAGAATGCCAGGCCTGTGACTCTGTTCCGACTAGTAAATTTTATTTCTATATAAACCCAAACCTGAGGAAAAAGCCCCGGATTACAAAGACAAGCATGAATAGGCAGGACTCTCGAACAATCCACATGCTTAGAAGTAACCATGGGATACCATACGAAACATGTGGAATATCAGAGGATCTTGAGCACCTCATAGTGACTTCTACCAAATTTGTAAATAATAGAAAAACACTAATGGACACTGTTTACAATAATAGGGGCTTGGACAAACAGTACTCTATACAGTATACAGTAAGTCTCTCTCTCAGGCTCTGAGAGTTTAGAGGTTTATGAGGCAATTCTGGTGTATCTTCGGGCTGGTAGTTATGACAAGCCATTTCATAAAGGCCGACAAAGCGACATAAACAATCAATAAAGATCCTTCATTTCTCTCCCCTAGAAACTTGAGCATTTGTGTGAGATTTTTTTTGTTCCATTCTACGATGGGTATGAATTGCAATAAAAAATTAATAGTTGATTACCCGTCGAAAAAATTAAACAATTGTAATCTTTGGAGTTTTTGTTTTATCATTCCATTAAGTGTACTGAATTTTTGTTTATAATAACGAGTTTTTAGTTTTTCAAAGGACGTAGAAACTGAGGAATCGCTATCAGATGAGGAATTTTTAAATGCAAATGAAGGGGGCATAGGCTAGAAAGATTTACTATGGTTTTGTTTTAAATTTATTTTTTTGACAGGCGTCTTGTCTCGCTCCTCATCTGAAGTGTTGTGATCAGAAAATTTTTTATGCGTGAGTGATTCGGGTCGCAGTGTTTGTTTTGACTTGTTTGGGTTAGACAGAAAGAGAGTCTTCAGATCTTCCTCAAGCTTCTGTTCAATGTTTTTTATTAGTTGTGTGATTTTCTCCTGTCTTTGTGTGGGTCTTCCTTTTTTGGGTATTAGAGAAGATCCCAAAATTTCACTTTCGACTGTTTTAACAAGGTTTGTTTCAAGGAAGTAAGGTTTTCTGAATCAAGAGGCAGTGGATCCTCGTCCTGGTAATTGGTAAGTTGGGAACTAGTCCCAACCAGCGTGTTTGAAGCCGTAGGCCTATATGAGTCCGACATTTTTTATTTTTTTTTTTTTTAATTTTTTTTTTAATCAAAGGACGAGGTTTTGCTCTGCTATCAGTATTTGTAACGTTAATATGGTTATAAAAAATAAAATAAAATAATAATTCCGTTAAAAATAAAAGGTTCTTAATTAATAACAAATTAATGAGTCGAATAAATCTTATAAATGGTTACAACTAATTTAATAAGGAAAAGGGAATATTTTCTTATGATAGAAAGTAAGTATGTAAGTGTAAAGTTATTTTTTGGTTTTCTTTTCACTGAACAAGTTGTATAGTATAATGTAACGAACCTTGATGAACGAACACCACTAAACTAGAATTCTTCACTAGCATTTTTTTTGTCTTGATAACGTCACACACTTTTATTTTTACTTTATCTTCTTTCTAAAGTTGCAAGCGACCGAGTCGATCCAAATACGACCAAATCCAGCGTGGATCTCGCTTAGGCCTGCCGCTGTCCTCTCGTCTGTCTGCTCAATCGTTGGAACTCTGTCTTATTGATTGTTTATGTCGCTTTGGCGGCCTTTATGAAATGGCTTGTCATATAATATACGGATTTAAATCACGGTAGGTTGAGGGCAGGCATCCTGGGGAGGTCGGTTCGGTGGGTGCCGGCGGGCTGTGGGGGTGGGTTCTTGAGCATATTAAGCCCCGTAGGTCTGGACTTTTTATATCTCGATGTTGTGTTTTTTATTCACATCTCCGGAGACCTCTGTGAAAGGGAGAATACATATAAAGAAGCATTCCTCTTCTTGTGCTTGTCGATTGCGGCTGGCTGGACCTCCTGGAGTGCCTGTATACGCACCCGTCCTAAAACTATCTTTGTCCAATGTCTGTACAAGGCCACATAAAAAAATTAAAAAATCCATTTTTTTTATGAAAGTGTTTGCCAGATCGTTTTTGTTTTTAAAAGTCGTATAAAAAGAAATTTTCGATTAATTATAATTATTAATTAATATTTATGGAAGGTATTGGTTGAGATAAAAAAGTCAGTGTCACGAGCGGGACTCGAACCCACGACCCTCGGCTAATTACGCCGCCACTCTACCACTTGAGCTATCGTGACCTCGATCCGCTCGGACACCAACTTCCCATCTCAACCCCACTTTTTGAATTTTCCCTCTGCTTGACCGCTCGTGACACTGACTTTTTTATCTCACCTTAAAACCTTAATTAATTGAATTGTATTAATTGGTCAAGCGGACCCTCGGCTAAATATGCCGCCTCTCTAGTCTCTACCACTTGAGCTATCGTGACCTCGATCCGCTCGGACACCAACTTCCCATCTCAACCTCCCCTCTCGAATCCTCCCTCCTTTTTGCCATTTTTCAATCAAGGAGGGAGGATCGAGAGGTGAGGTTGAGATGGGAAGTTGGTGTCCGAGCGGATCGAGGTCACGATAGCTCAAGTGGTAGAGACTAGAGAGGCGGCATATTTAGCCGACGGTCGTGGGTTCGAGTCCCGCTCGTGACACTGACTTTTTATCTCAACCAATACCTTCCATAAATATTAATTAATTGAAAAATGATAATTGGTCAATCGGACCACGAATTGTAATGGATTTTATAATTATTAAGTTTGATTTATCATTAGTTAACAATACAATTATTGTTCTTTAATGCTTGAAATCCGGAAGTTTATATACAACAAATCTGTGAGTAGAACCATCATTTACAAAAAGTGCATGACGATGTCAAAACGCTGACAGACCAAACCGGCCAAGGTGATGCCAAGGGCTGGTTAAAATGACCAGAATGTTGTTTAAATATTACAAGTTGACATGAATGGTCATATTATTTTAATAAATAGGTATTTTACCGCTTTAAATTTCTGTTTCAGGTATTTAATCGATACGCTCAAGTTTCTTGATAGAGAGAGAGTAGCCGTTTGGGGGCGAGGATACGGTGGATACGTGACGTCCATGATTCTCAGTTCACAGCACCACATCGTCAAGTGTGGTATCGCCATATCGCCGATAACCGACTGGCTTTATTACAGTGAGTAACGTGAAATTAACGGTGCACAGATCGAACCAAACCGATGCGTCCTGTTTTCAGATTCAGCGTTCACAGAAAGACTGCTCGGCCAGCCTTCTGAAACGTTCAAGGAGTACGTGGAAAACGACGCGATTCAAAGGAGTAGGCACATCGAGGCCGGATCGCTTTTCCTCATCCACGGCCTCGCAGACATAAGCGTTCCGTACGTCCACTCGCTAAGCCTCGCCAAAGCTCTGACTCAGCAAGGCATCCTCTTCAGATATCAGGTAAAAATAGGATAAACTGCCCGTTCCGGCTTTAAACCCGCATTGATCCTTTTCAGAGTTACGGCGACGAAGGACACGAGCTGAGTGGAGTTCTGGAACACTCTTACATGTCCATGGAAAACTTCCTGTCGACTTGTCTGAGTCTGGACAAAAACGAACAAGTCGGCCTTTGAAATTCTCAGCCGACTTCCGCCTTATCAACGAGCCTTCACTAGCAATATAGTACAACTATACCGGGCTGTGTTTACCCAAAGTGAGGCAGAAAGTGCTCCTTGTTTTAATTGTCCTCCCCTCTGAATAATAAGAATACGGCACATCGATCGGCTCCCGAGTTTATCTGTTTATCAAAGAAAAGCAAGCGGCAAACTCCTGATTCGGCAAGTCGCAAAATCGATCGTCTCCGGTCCGCCTGTTCTATGTGTCTTTCATATTAAAAAAAGCCCATCTTCTGAAGACCGGATCGGGCTTAATCAAGTCTCCAGAACGGCAGATAGAACAGTCCGACCTGAGACGAAAATTTTGAACTGCTCCGAATTTATTTATCACGCAGTAACTGCGTCCAAATCGAATTCCAGTCGTTTCAATAATTATTAGTTTTGCAATAAATCGACATAATAATTAGATTAAGGATTTTTCATGAAAAAATAGATAAAGCTATCAAAAATAATTACGCCGTTATCGCACAATATTTTAGATTAGTATTCAAGCCGTCCCCTTATATGCATTAGTTATTGGCCTAGAGATCGGATTCAATTAAATATATTGATTATTATTATATTCAAAATGTTTATTGAGGGTCTTTAAACGACGTATTTTTAAGAATATTTAATTTTTTACTGTATTAAAATTGACCAGTAGATGTAAATTATAAATTTTTCTTTATATATTATTTTATACGTGGAAAATTGAATTTAGTGTTTTTCATTTCTCGGAATCTTTAATTTCCGTGTTAAAACATGGATTAAAATTCGATCGTAATCATTGAATCAAAACATTGACTCAGTATGTAAATATTTACTGTTAAACAAACCCAAAAACAAAGAGCATGTTCGAAATCAGAAATGTTTTAAAAATCACTAAACGTTTATCATTTTTTGTTTCAAAAAGTGCCTTGATGTACTTGTTTCCGAACAACTTCGTACTTGGCAAATTTATGGTCTTAGTTTTCATTGCTCAGTCTTTAATGCCCTTGATTATAAGGGCTTTCATTAAAACGAATTTTAATTTGAAGTCCAAGTAGTTTTCTTGTTTATCACTTTTACTTCAAAGTTGACAACTTCGAATATTAATATTTTTTCGCCCTTTTTTTTTCTCTTCCTGGATAATCGTATAAAGTTGCAATGAACCAAAACTGCTCTACATTTTGTATTTTTGCTACAAAGCAGTGTTTGCATGAAATAAAAATATGGAATAAGTAACATTTCAATAAAACAATTTTTTTTAAACTGTTAAGCTTTGGATTATTATCAGCCTTGAAAATTCAAGGAGGTTGAAAATCGGACGGGCAGAGGCCCAGGCGAAACCATTTTTTACACCGTAGAACAATCAGATATGTTAATAAAATTTCATTCGTAATCTGAAAAATAATCGCTGTTGATCACCTCTCTGGGTTCGCCAGTTCCGTCGGTTTTTAATTGTTCTCGTCTTCGGCGAGGTTAAAAGTGGCGTAAAACCGAAACGAGTACGAAAACAAGTAAAAACAAGCGAGAACAGGCGGGGCCACCATCCAGACAGAGGATCGACCGCTATCGTACTTTTTGATCATGAAATGTAGTCCTTCGGCGCTTGGTTTATCTTTAAAAAAATAAACATTTTGTTGGGTTTTTGCTTCAAAATTTAGACGATTTTCATATCTCGTATCAAAAAGCTTAACAACCCCCCCCCGCGCAGAAATAAATGTTTACTCGCTATTATATTTTACTTTCACTAATTTCGTGGTCCGCTTGACCAATTAATACATTACAATTAATTAAGGTTTTTAGTTGAGATGAAAAAAGTTAATGGCACGAGAGGGATTCGAACCCACGACCTTCGGCTAGATACGCCGCTGCTCTACCACCTGAGCTATCGTGACCTCGATCCACTCGGACATCAGCTCCCCATCTCAAAAACTCATAAGGTGGGGTTGAGATGGGGAGTTGATGTCCGAGTGAATCGAGGTCACGATAGCTCAGGTGGTAGAGCAGCGGCGTATCTAGCCGAAGGTCCTGGGTTCGAATCCCTCTCGTGCCATTAACTTTTTTTCATCTCAACTTAATTAATTGTAATTATATTTTACTCTTCAATCCTTAGGTTTACGGTGGTAACGTCGTTAGCTGTAATAAAAATTAACATTAATAAAATTTCATTCTAATCTTCCATTTTATCTTTGCACTATTTCGAAAAGTTTGATACTGCCTTAGGCAGGCTTGATTATTTTGAACTATTTCGACAATTTGAAGGAGTTTCGCTCAGGAGACTTATTGGCCGGCTGCTTTTCTTGATTCTTAACCAATTTTAGACTCCCCAAATCCACATTTTAGAATTAATTTCATTTTGTAAATACATTTTGTATAAGTGTGTGTTTTTTTATGTGTTCAAAATAATGTTTACGAATACAAAAAATTGCGGGTATAGGAACATATCCTCGGACTTTTGAATCAACAACCGGCTTAACCGGCCCGATTCATGTTTTCTTTTGATTAACATTTAAAAAGAAAAAAAATAAAAGAAAGAAAACTCGGAATAAGATGATGTTCCTATCAGTGCATGTATTACATGTGTGAATGTCGTAAATTTGTAAAATCTTCCTAAATTTTAAATTAAGTGAGGAATTGAATCTTGTATCGTTGTGTAAAATAGCTGGCAATATGGAATAGTAAAGGCTTTTACCATTTTTATTTATTGATTTTTTAGTAATATCTTTTCATACGTTTTTATTATTGTATATAATAAACCAATTATATTTTGTTTTTAGAAGAATTGTACATAGCTAATTTTAAAGGAGTGGCATTTTTACATGCACAGGTTTGCCTTTTATTTTGAAAAAATAATAACATCCAGACAAAATTTTGAAAAAAAAGCCTCTTTAATTGTTGTGGCTTCTCAAAATTTTATTTTTAATTTAATATTGAGAACTGAAAAATTGTTGACTGTCAAAACGAGCAATAACATTATAGAACTTCGTCTTCGAAATGGCCTAGATGCACATTACATTTAAATAAGAAAATTAACATGTTTAGACGAAATTAATCTTCATGCAGTGCGTTTACAATTAGTTTTTGTTATTAATTAATTACTAGTTGTTTTTAAAAAATAAATCTCTGTAGAAAGGGGCAGTTGCTTTCTAAAAATAAAAAGCGCGATGAATTTATAATTAATAATAATAATAATAGCAAAATTGCTTTGAATGTCGTTCACAACTTTCTGAGTTTCTGAGGGTAAAATCGGAAAATTATTTATATTTGTTTCAGGCAATTGATTAATTTCATTAAAATTGTATGTCTATATTATTTTTTTATTTATACCCCGCCTAAATAAACTGAGAAAATTCCAAGAACTTTCATAATTTTTATTTTCAATGTTAAATAAACCGAAAGGCTTTGGACGGATTTTTTTTTTTTTAAATTTGAACATTTCTTAATAGTTTTTTACCTCGGTAGTTGTTGAATTTGTTAAATTAAAATTTTAAATATTCACGAGCCAGAGGAATTTGGGGTGTCGGTATGAATAGTTGAAGCCATTCGATTAAGTGTCAATATAAGGAAATGAGACAATCTAATAAAATATTTTATACATTAACAAGAGAATTTCAAGCGAAGTAGTTTTTTAGAGGGAGAATTTTTTTCCAGAAGTTGTAATAGGCGATTTTTAAAAATTAAAATTAAGAATAAATTGAAGCGTTTGTTCCATACAGTGAGCTCTGGCCGGCTTAAATCTGTTGGCCTAGAAATAAAGACAAAACGTTTTTAATAAATCAATTTACAATACCTGTTACAAGCTTACTATAATCATCATGAAACTTTGGCCTTGATAGTCACTAGAATTTGAAAAAAAATTCAAAGTACAGCTCATAAAAATGCCTAATTCTGTTATTAAAAGTAATTTTTTATAATATTTAAGACGAATACAAAAATTTAGTGAAAGAAGTATTATCCTGTACATAAACGGTTTTAATATATATTTAATTAACAAGAAAACATTCAAACATATTAAAATATATCATATTCGAGCTTTTATAATTATGACAATGATATTGTGATTGAACTTAATCAACCATGATGTACAATTTGCTTTCGATACTTTTGAGCTTAGAAAGTCCAAGAATCCTGGCTTTTCACAATTCGTTTTCATTTGGATTAACAATATTTAAAAGCTAATTGACCCTTTTTGCATTATAGTTGTTTTAGGACTTAACGACAATGTAAATTTTAAAAAATAAAACTTTTAATAAAAGTCACTTTCCTCCTAACTTCAAACGAAGTGAGTTCGGTATTGTAATTGCCATTTTATATAAGCGAATCAGTTTTGTTTGACTCCTCTATTAAAAATATTATCCTCCTTTAAAATTGATCTTTCAGTTCAACTGGAAGAACTTCAGCGATGGTCGCGTAATGTCAATTGTAGAGCGAAAGTGTAATAATGTAAGCGTAGTGAAAGAAAAAGGTTCGTCTTAAAAATTGCAAGCACACGGTGTTTCGACAGTTCGATGCAATAATTTTAATATAAGTTTTGATTGCAAAGTTAATTTAGTTTGCAAGTCAAGTATTAACAAAATAAAAAGGGTTTTGGATATAGAGAAAAAGTATTTTACATGTTAACATTCGTTGTTGAAGTTAATCGGAGAGATTATGTGCGTGAGAAATTGTATAATAACAGTGTTGTTTATTTACATTTATTACGCAATTAAACATTCTTTATACAAAAAAAACCTTTGTTTTTATTGTATTACCTAAGTACAAACATTTCCTAATTGACCAAAAAATTGTGTAATTTTTTTTACTTAATTTTTTTCTTTTTGTTGTATGTCTCTTTATGTTTTGGTAGATTTTTCTATTCAATATTTTTCCACGTTTATTTAATATAATATTTCACGGCTCTTTCGGGTCCGAAGAGGATCAGATTGCACGGCAAGAATACTGCTTTCTGGCAGCGGGAGTACCACAGGGGAATATTTCAGGGTACAAAGTGGTGTAGACAAGGTGCTTTATTGAGCCCTCTTCTTTTTGCCCTCTTTGTAGACGATCTCCCTGCTGTTCTGGAAGGTGGAATTCGCGTGGGGATACTGCCATTAAAATTTTACTTTATGCAGATTACAATGTGTTGATGGCAGATAATGTCCTAAGTCTCCAGAAGAATATCAAGTTCTTGGAGACGTTAGTTGTGAGCAATGGAATTTTGGGTAAACCTCCAGAAATCAAAGATTATGGTCTTTAGGCTGTATAGATATGAACAGGAATTTAATTTACAATAACTTTTAATAATAAATTAATTACTCTTCTCCAAAGTGCTCATTTTTTATGCGCTTTGTTCTATTTGTATAAAGGTTCAAATTTAAGTTAATTATCCTTAGTTTATTAAGTTTCTTAACTTTATTAAGTTTCTTGTCGGTTTCAATTAATTATGTATTTCTTTTATTATTACAATTTTATTTCTCTCCTTTGATGTTCAAAGACATCCGGCAAATGGATATTGTCCTTCTTGCACATACTTGCGTAAAAAAGCTTGTAAACCATAATCTATGATTGGAAATAAAGTATTATTATTATATTACATATCCATTATATTTTAGATGTTCCTATTCACCTACCATCCTCACTGCATCTTTTGCCGATGACACAGCTGCACTATCCTCTAACTCGGATCCTGCGGTTTTTTGCGGAGGATCTGCAGAGACATGTCATATAGCAGATTGGTTAGACTACTCACTACAACGATGTTCCTCTACCTACATCCGACTGCGTTCGTTATATTGGGTTTCACCTACACTCACGCTCAACGTAGAATCAGCAAACATGATTAAAACGACAAGACCTAAATTGACGCTACGGTCTACTCTACAAACTTATGGGGCGGCAATCCAAGCTATCGACGAAAAACAAACTTACACAAAACGCAACTTCAACCAATTTGGACATACGGGATAGAACTGTGGGGCATCGCTAATGCCGGGAACACACTTGCCCGATGCAACGCTACCCGACGCTTGCCACGTTTTGGTCGGGTGTGCACATCTATGCGACGTCAAGCGCACGCCACATACAGTCACACACAGCGTGTATCACAAATCAGTATCGCAATCGCAACGCCTATTTTGTTCTTATGCATTATTTTGAGCAAAACCACGAAATAAATTGTTAGTTAAATTTTATGACCGAAATCGGGTAATAAATTAAAATATCAAAAAAATACCATTGTTTTGATCAATTTTTTAACAAACCTTTATTTTTTTTAAATAAAAACTTACGAATCTTTGATCTCAGTTAATTTGGTTTATATTAAAATAAGTATGTTGTAATTAATATAACGACAATAATACATGTAGTTGAAGTAAAGATATGAGTGTCCGGTTCTTTTGTCTTCGACTGTACTCGATGCTTCTCGACGAAAATCTGGACAGTGGGGATTGCGAAGCGTAGAGTAGGGTAGTGTTGCATAGCATCGGGCAGATGTGCACGGGGGTAATACAATCTTATGGAAAATTGGACTTTGGATTTGCGTCGGGTAGCATCAGGTAGCGTCGCATAGCGTTGCATCGGGTAAGTGTGTTCCCGCCTTCACTCGGCCACTCCGCTCTTCCTATCATTGTCCGAAATCTTTTATTTACACACATCATAGCAGTGATAGTTCAAAATTCTAAACAAATACATATAGAGTACTATTAAATTCCGGTCTTTGAAGATTCAACTTGACGAGTGGTTAAAATATCCTATGTACGTAATAATTAGCCTGGAGTCAGACCCAAGACTACTTTTACTACTACGACTATATTTTTTGATCCACACCGGGAAAGAACCGGCCCTTTGTGCTTTTTCGTGAAAACAGCCCATACCGAAAGATTTCCGATTTGTGCTTTCATCGCCGATTGGAAAGGGAAAGAGTTGATTTTTTTTACGCTGAAGGCCTCTCTGGCTATGTGTTTATGCACGTTTGTCTCGTTGTTAATGAATTAATGTGATTCCTAGTTGTTGTTCCGACAGTAATACATGTAGTTTGAATAAAAAAGCATGAGTGTCCGGTTCTTTTGCCTTCGACTGTACTCGATGCTATTCGACGAAAATCTGGACAGCTGGGGATCGCAGAGCGTAGAGAAGGGTAGCGTTGCATGGTATCGGCAGATGTGCACGGGGGTAATACAATCTTATGGAAAATTGGACTTTGGATTTGCGTCGGATAGCATCGGGTAGCGTCGCATGACGTTGCGTCGGGTAAAGCCAGGAACACACCCGATGCTACGCCATGCGACGCTACCCGACGCCTTGCCACCTTTTGGTGGGGTGTGCACATCTATCCGACTCAAGCACACGTCGCGTACATTAATTAATTACAACATACTTATTTTAATATAAACCAAATTAACTGTGATTAAAAATTAATTACTTTTTATTTAAAAAATTAATTTTAATGGTTTGGTAAAAAAATTAATCAAAACACCGGAATACGATTTTTTGATACAATGAATTTAATTAACAATTTATTGTACTCGCTTCGGCGGTACATATACTAAAATTGGAACAATTTATTACACGGTTTTGCTCATAAAATTTAATTAACAGTTTATTTCATAGTTTTGCTCGTAAAATTACACCATTTTGTAATGTCGGGTAGCATCAGAACAGGACACTCATATTTTTTGTAGTTTATTTCAAACTAAGTACATGTAATTTTGTCGTTATATTAATTACAACGTGTTATTTTAATGTAAACCAAATTAAACGAGATAAAAAATGCATAAGTTTTTATAAACATTGTTTAATTATGATGGTTAGGAGTAACTTTATTTAAAACAATTAAGTTTAACAAACAATTTATTAGATGGTTGTGCTCATAAAATTTAACTAACAATTTATTACAAGGTTTTGCTCAAAATAGTGCATTAAGAACAAAAGATGCATTGCGATTGTGATAGTGATTATTGTGATAAACGCTGTGGACTATACGCGACGTGTACTTGCGTCGGATAGATGTGCACACCCCACCAAAACGTGGCAAGGCGTCGGGTAGCATCGGGTAGCGTCGCATGGCGTAGCATCGGGTAAGTGTGTTCCTGGCTTAAGTGTGGCCGGGAACAGAGCCATCCAATATCCAACATCTCCAATCCATTCAGTCTAAAGTCGTCAGATCAATTATATATGCTCCGTACTATGTCTCTAATACTAAACCTACACAACCTTAAAATCCCATTTATCCAAAAATTAATTCCTCAAAAATTTGCCATCCTTCACAACAAACTCCCCATCACACAAATATCTTTGCCCAAACCTTGCCTAATAATAAAATAGAACCATCCCTACAATTTTATAAGACGTCTTAAGAGGAAATGGCACAGCGATCTCCTTTCTGAGGTAGTGAACTTTCATTAGCGAAGCAAAGTGGGAACATGATATTGATTATTTGCTCTCCTCGATGTAAATGTGTAAAATCATTGTATTTTACTGTGTATCCACAAATTACATGTTGTAGCTAGAAATGCAGATTGTAATAAAATATTAAATTTAAGAAATAAAATCTTTCACTGCTTTATAATAATTTAATTTTTTAGTTGAGATTGTGAGTTTAGGCAAAAAGATTAAGTTTCTTTATGACAGGATACACATAGAAATCTGAATTCTTTAATGAAAAGAAAATTATATCCTCGGTATGAAAACAATCCAGGCAGTTTTATTATTTCAATTATTTAGAAAGGGGAAAGTTATACAATTCAGACGCCTCGATGCAATATAAACACGAATAAATTTGCATTTATTCTTACCCTCGCCAGAAGCCCAAGGGAGAAAAAGAATTCAAGGTTTCAACCCGTTAATTTAAAAAACGCGGAAGACTATTCAAAGTTCTTCTTGTGAAAATTTTCAAAGAAAAGCTAACATATGTTCAAGAGGAAATAAATAGTTAAAAGTGTTTTCTATTATTGGTAACGGTTCTAACAGATAGTTGAAATATTTTTCTAGGGCTAGATGGACAACCCTGTGTGATTACATGCGAGCTTAGAAATGCATTACAAATTGGAACATCCCACGGAAAGACTGGTGAGGGAATTCGTCGACAAATATTACGTTTTCGAATTCCTTCTCCTTTTTTTAATTGTTATGCTGACGTCGTGGATTAAGTCATTTCCCAATTTAACTGGGTACTGCCCAAGGTAAGTTTCGTTCCGCAATTCTTTAGAGGGACAAATTTTCGAACAGTTACATTTGACGACTTTTGATGTTGTTTCTCTTCCCAAGTTCAGGTAATATGTGGTGAAGAGATGTCGAAATAATAAAACTGAAATTTTAGAATTTCTTTGGGGCAAATATCTCACAAGAACTTTGCTTAATTTAAAACCAAATCAATTCAAACGAATCACATATTCTTAGTGTTTTTTTTGGGGGTTTTTTTTTGAGAGAGAGAGAGAGAGTTCGCAACAGCAGAGGTCATATCGACCCTCGGGGTATATATATTGGTACGCTTTGCTCGCTCCTTTGTTTCAATGTAACTGAGACCAGAGAAAACCTGTCAAAACAACATTTAAAAACTGGGCCAACTTATTCCAGCAAAACACTCGGAAAGATTGCAATCTTATTACTGTTTTTTGTTTTGCAACAGTAGAAATCATAGTCCATTTGTAAGTATGTCGGATTCGAATGAAGGGCCGCTGGATTCGAACCCGGGACCTTTACCTTCCAGTGAAGAGCGCCGTGTCAACTCCTTAACCGTTGCGGACCCCCCCCCCGATATTGTTTCAATCTTTCAAACTGTGCACGACTATTCTTTTATCAGTTGACAATTTGAAACATCAAAAAAAATTCCCGGTTTAATGAAATGGACTTATGTCTTCAACAGACCCGGCCATTTTGCTTTTTAAAACCAAGCTTTTTCAAATTTGTATTGATTAGTTCTCGTTCAAAACATTTTCAATGTGAATTATTTAATGCAAGAGTATGATGAATAAAAAGATAAAAATTCTTACTGGTGTTATTTTTGATGAGGAGTAAATTCAGTTAAATACTTTTGTGTTTTGGCTCATGTCAGATTCATCAAGGTAAATCAATTTTGGCCCAGGCTAATTTTGCGGTTTCTTATCGCTCCGACATATTTCGGTATCGTACAGATTCCAGCTAGTTTAAATGTCTGGGGCTTCATTTAATGAGAATAGGCGAATCAATTTCCTGAGCAGGAGACGAGAGATCGTCCTCACCCGACTGAGGATTGGCCATACGCGGTTGACACACGCTTTTGGGCCAAGCCCGTGCAGGTGCCCCTTATGCAGAGAAAGGTTGCTTGATGTGTCCCACATAATAGAGGTGTGTCATGCCTTGTCTCCATACAGAGAGCGTGTAGCAATGCCGCCGGATTTAAGAATTCTCGAACACGGTAGCGAGTTTCAGAGTCCCCTGTTCCGCTTTTTAGGGGTATTGGAAATTTTTTATTATATATAGCCTTCAAAATATGTGTTTTGTGTTTCTGTGTCTTGTATGAGTGAATGTATTTATTGGTGTGAATGGGGAGGGGCTGATGGCGAAGTAGCTTCTCCATCGCCTCTCAGGTTGTGTGTATGACTTGGACCGATGGCGGAAATTTTATAAAAATAACCCATCGAACCCAATCTAGATTAGTTTATTATAGGGAATAGGTAGACGGAGGAATATTGGTAGCTGGAGGAGTACAGTACTCCATCTACCAAACAGTATGAGTGCGATCAATGTAAATAGGTATGAATGAATTTATTGGTGTGATTGTGTATCGAGAAAAAAAAAGGCGAATCAAGATGATCAAAAATGTGAAAATTGTTGAACGCCATCCAACAAAATAATATAGTCCACAAAATCAAGTGTAAAATGAAGTAATTTCCATCTTTTTTGACGAATTCGATTATAAGGACTTGTTTGGTATCGAAGTCTCGAAAATCTTAGAATTGAATTCATGAATGATATATTAAAATAAACCTTTGTTTTAAATATTATTTAATTATCCTGTTTGTATTCATCTATTTCTCATTTTCAATATTTTATTTTATATCTTGCAACTTTTAGGTCGCCCTTTTTAAGTTAAGAGGTCTGAGATATTTTGTGAGAAGCAGGAAACTGTTTTTCTTTATTTCCTATAAAATTTCAACCATTGTACCTGGACTATTATTATTCCACTCCTCTATTTGTCATGAGGTCTTGTATGTGTGCATGTGTATAACTTCAAACATTTTAATTACTTAGCATATCTATCTTTTTAATTGTATCAATACACGGTTTTTGGTTTTTTCCAGGAATTTGGACAATTTCACTGTTATCAACAGGTTCTTCAACGACGAGGAATCGTCTGTCACAGCTGATTCGCATTATTCCTTGAGCACAAATAATTCTGAAGTAGATACCAGGACGAACCACCTTGCCGCGTACAGCCAGCCGGCAACGGGGGCACTCGAAATTTGCCCGGTGTACCAAACGGAAATCGAACCCAACCCGATACCGCACACCTTCGCCGAAGAAACCACGAGGCCCAGGTCTTGTACCTATCTTTGTACCCGTAGCGGCCGGAAGTATGCAAGACGACAAATATAAAAAGTAAAAATGTAAAAACTATTTGTATTTGTATTTTGTACTTTTGAGGGTGTATAACAAAGGTATATTTTATCGAATCTTCCGGTAGTCAGTATATATGCTGCGGTATACATTCTATTTTTGTGAAATAGATTATTATTTACATATAAGAATACATCTCTAATTCACAGCCGGCTGTAGAACATTTCAAGAGTAACAAATTAACTGTCCTCTTACATAACTAATCTGCAACCACAAACCTCAGTCAAAAACCAAAACCATATATCCTACTCGCAAGCAAGTACTTGACAGAAGACAAACCACAACAAAAATGACACCTTGAAAGACCTGTGCTAGTGTCAGTGATCCAGTCTTCTGTCGGAGAGCTTTGCATAAAGTCTACCGAAATTTTAAAATGGACCTTGCTGAATCAAAACTTCATGTTGACACTTGGAGCAGCTGCAGTTCTATGCTTTTGAACTTCCTCAAATATCTTATAATTACAGAAACAAAACTTAACCAGAATGTCAGTTCCAAATAAAAGGCTACTAACTACCCATCTGGTTCCTATAAGGAATGGTGGCAATCACTCAAGCTCTCTAAATCATATGGCGCAAACACCCAATAATCGCAAACAAGATCCAACCAAGAAGAAATAATTTGGCCATTACAAATCATTCTTGTCTGCCTATCCTCAACCTTTCAACCCTGTCATGACCCAACCAAAACAGCAAGGATAGACAAGACCATCGATAATGCCACATTATAGGTTCATCACCCTACAGACCATACAGTAGGCTCACAAAAATCTATGTATACAAATGTCTCCTGGAAAATTCCATCTGAGTCATTCTAATCAAACAGGAGAGAATAACTTAGCCCAGCAACTGTACACCATTGTCTTTTGAGTAAATTGTTCACCATTGAGGGACATTCTTTACAGAAAAAAAACACCAAAAAGATCACTGAACAGTAGTGTTAGCATTTAACCATAGAGGAGATTGCTACACATAAACCATAAATTGCTGGATTCTTGGGGATCTAGTTCACCGTTACAGCTAAATGTGCATTACTCATATGAACCAACTCTCCACACTACCACACCAGTTTGCAGGCCCCACAGTGTGCTATTAGTTGAAACAAAGTACTCCAGCACACCAGCTAGCACAAACCCCATAATGTGCTATTGAACTCGCTACTCTGACATCTGTTTATATTGGATTTTTTTATATGTTCAATTAATATTATGTTGACCAATATTTGCATATTATTTTATTTTGTACCATAAGCAATATAAATAAAGACCATCCTATTGGTAGGAAATAGAACACTACCACACCAGCTAGCAGACCCCAGAATGTGCTATTAGTTGAAATGAAGAACTTTAGCACACCAGCTAGCAAACCCCAGAATGTTGCTTTTAGTTGGAACATAGCACACAACCACACCAGCTAGCAGACACCACAGTGTGCTATTAGTTGAAACAAAGTACTCCAGCACACCAGCTAGCAGACCCCAGAATGTGCTATTAGTTGGAACATAGCACACTACCACACCAGCTGGCAGACCCAGAATATGCTAGTTGGAACATAGCACACTACCACACCAGCTAGCAGATCCCAGAATGTTGCTATTAGTTGGAACATAGCACACAACCACACCAGCTAGCAGACACCACAATGTGCTATTATTTGGAACATAGCCCAGTACCACACCAGTTTGCAGACCCCACAGTGTGCTATTCGTTGAAACGAAGAACTTTAGCACACCAGCTAGCAAACCCCAGAATATGCTATTAGTTGGAACATAGCACACTACCACGCCAGTTTGCAGACCCCACAGTGTGCTATTAGTTGAAACAAAGTACTCCAGCACACCAGCTAGCAGACCCCAGAATGTGCTATTAGTTGGAACATAGCACACTAACACACCGGCTGGCAGACCCAACAGTAAATCAACTACAGAAATTGAGAGAGAGTGAGATTAGGGATGGTTACCACTTTGTTAAATTTCTTTTTTTAACTCTTAACAGATAATAGTAAACAGATAAAGGTTTGAAATGATTTTGCTTGTAACAAATGGTTTATGTATTTTTAAACATTATATTTTTAATAACAAAATGCTAAATGAAATAAAGAAATGCTTTGTTGATGCTTCTGCAGTGACACCTGACAGAATGAGAAACTATCTGTACAGTTAGTTTAGGTGGCTTTTGACTACAGTCCTCTCATCACAACATTGGATTACTGTGTTGGAAGATTTAGAAGCACGTTCTGCCCTGGGGGTAGATATGAGACTTGTCTTGACCTCGACAGCTGATAAGCAATGTCTTCAGCTGCCTCAATTTTTCTAAGCTCCACCAGACCTTCACCAGCATCCTGGAAAGACTTCGCAAGGAGAAGGGCTGCCTGGGCATCACCCTCAGCAGTAATGACAGCCGCTTGTTTTTGTTGTTCAGCCTAATAAAATAATTTATTTTATTTTATTTTGTTTTATTTTTGGGGGGTTTCGGTTTTAATTTATAAAAATCTCACCTTTTCTACAAGGAACCTAGCTCTTTCTGCTTCTTGCTGGGCCACCTGCTTCAACTCCACAGCATGTGTGAATTCTTTTCCAAAGGTTAAATGTGTCTAAAATTTTATATTTTTATATTTAAAAAAAAAAATTAATATTTTTATATCAACGAAATATCATCAAATACTTACAAGTGCTATGTCATCTAATATGACACCAAATTGAGCTGCTCTTTCTGTCAGTTCATCACTAACTTTCTGCGAGACTAACTCTCTTTGGGTAATAAGTTCACCAGCATCAAACTGAGCCTAAAATATAAAAACACAACAGAAACAATTTTTCCATTGATCAATTCAAAATAAACATTTAATCTGATCATTTTTAAATTTTACCACAACGGCTTTGAGAACTTCTGTTGTAATTGAAGGTAAGACTCTTTCATCATAATCTACACCGAGGATCGTATATATTTTTGGCAATTGATCTGGCACTGGCCTAAACAGGATTCTAAGGGTGATGTTGACATTCTGGAGATCTAAAAATTTTGAGTAATTTATCTATCGAACAGTCACAGAAAAATTAAATTTCTATACCTTTTGAGCCTGTTACTGTTGGGATGTTCCTAGGCCTGGATCTGATATCAAAAATAATTGGCCTTTGAATCCAAGGGATAAAAAAGTGTGTACCCTCGCCTACAACTTGGTTTTTGACACCAGTGAATCTATCAAAAATTACAGCCCTATGTCCTCCATCAACTGAAAACAAAAAAAAGAAAAATTAAAAAGGAATTAATTAAATGATTTTTTTTTTTTTAAGATGTTTATTTTATTTATTGCTATGTGTACACAATACACATTGAGCAAATAGTTATAAACAAATCTGACAGACCTGTCTGACCAGGAGGCAGTAGGGAAGAAACCAACTTTTATTTAATTGGGGGGGGGGAGTTAAAGTTAATTCGGTGGGTTAGATAGGTCACGAGGCCATCGTCGTTTTAAACGGCATGGGGGTTGTAAGGGTGAGTTGTTGAGGAAAGAGTTAGGGCTAGTGAGTTAGGGTGGAGGGAGAGTTTAGAGTGAAAAGTGAAGAAGAAATGAATTTTAAAAATATTAAATATATGAAATGTCCTATAAATAGCACGTTGTCCCAAACAAAATTAACAGTTATGTTGAACTGTTTTTGGTCCCTAATGAGATCAAATGTGAAGTACATCCCAAACATTTTCTAAAATATCAAATAAAGAGCATAGTCAAAACTGCAAATGTCAAAACCGTGGGTGTTAAGGGATTACTGTAAATAATAATATTAATAATAATGTGTATATATATCTGTCCGTGTCTGTGTGCAATAATATTATAGTATTGCAGATATTTTTGGAATTGATAAATTACTGAATATAACAATAAACTAAAAAGTAATGTTACCACCCAAATAATATACCCACTTCTATTCTGTGTCTAACTCACTTTTACTTTTTTTTTTGGGGGGGGGGGCTTCCGACATCTAGGGACATTTCTTATTCTGAAGTATTTTTAGGGTCTGGTGAATTCACAATTAAAATATTCCAGAAAAATACTTTTATTAAAATGAAAATCGATTTTTAAAATAATGTATAGTATTTTGTGATAATTAATTAATGACTATTTAAAGATCGGTACTAGACTGCATCTCAAGATCCCTAAATAGTTTTAAAATAATTTTTACATTTCTCAAGTTTACATATGGTTAATTTAGCATTATTATTCACATCAGTCTTTTGACCATACCTTATAATTGTGACATCACATAAATTAATCTTTGTTTTTTTATGGTATGAGTACAAGTATTTATTATTATTTTTATTTACTTTTTATGAGGGTTCGCAACAGCAGAGGTTATATTAACCCTCGGGGTTTTGGTGTTTTTGAAAAAAGCCCATTTATACATTGAGTTTGAATGCAGGGCGGCTGGATTCGAACCCGGAACCTTCACCTTACAGTGATGAGCGCCATGTCAATGCCTAAACCGTTGTGCTACCGATGCCTCCTTAGTATTTATTATAGTTTTTAAACATTACATATATACTCACTTCTACAATATAAAATATAAATAATATAAATAATAAAAATAAATATAAAAAGAAGGGATGGTTTTTTTTATACACCCATGACAGAATGGCACGGTTATGAGAGAGCATATGTGATACTGGTATGAGTTACAAAAAAATATCCAGGCAACTGGATTCAGTCGCCTCTCCTCCATCTATTCTCGATCCTCTCCCAAGCGGTTTAAAGACCTAGATGTTTGATTCTGTCATATTTTTATAATGGATAAGTTAGAAGCTGTAACTCTTTGGCATTTAATTAGACAAAAAACAAGTAAAAATAGGTTGATTTGTAAGAAATAAATTGTCTTTTCCACAATTATTTCTTTACAATCAACTTATTATGGAGTTTCACAAAATTGGACACAATAAAAAATAATAATAATATTCAATTAATTAAGGTTTTAAGTTGAGATAAAAAATGTCAGTGTCACAAGCGGGATTCGAACCAACGATCTTCGGCTTGATATGCCGTTACTCTACCACTTGAGCTATCGTGACTTCGATCCCTAACTAACTTCCCATCTCAACCCCACCTTTTGGATTTTCCCCCCTTTTGGCAATTTTTCAATTTTTTGACTTTTTATCTCAACTTAAAACCTTAATTAATTGAATGTTATTAATTGGTCAAGCGGACCATGAAAAATAGTGAATTTAATAATAATAATATTTAGAAAAAAGAATAATGTGGGTTCACCCACATTTTGCCTCGCATTTTCTTTTTTAACTTTATACACATAATCACAGTCACTGTTGTTCCAACGTGTGGGATATGTTTGAAATAATGAAATTCGTGCCATTATCAAATTTGTCATTTCTATCCAATTTTTTTTAAGTTTTAAAGGAGGCATATGAAAGCAAGAGTCGGAGGGAGCAATCTGCTCAATACAGTATGAACTGTGCGAATAACACCATGCTGCGCAATGTCCCGTCAGTCGCCTACATACAGAAAAAGTATCAAGCAACCAAACATCCCAAGCTACTAAAAATCAATCGCCTGCAAGTCTCCCCTTCTGAATGACCGTATCTGTCCCTGTTACATCGGTCTCCCATACCAACCGCCTCTATGTGAATACGGCCTACAGGGTAAGGGCACCAGAAATATAAAAAAAGTAGGAACCGTTGTTTTAGTCTAATATAGTTGGTGAAAAATTCACCTAGAAGTAAGGTTTTACTGCCAAATTGTACAATATTGATAAAATTGAATACTGAAAGTGTTGAAGTTCTGAACTCTTTTGTTATCTTGTTAGATAATGATTGGTAGGAGAGTTTTCCTAACTTGTTAAAAGGTTTATACATGTGTATATATTTTTTTATTTATTATTTTTTCTTAATTTGATAAGATAATTACCATTGTACAAAGCAGAATTTACAACTCCTCCGACGAGAGCGACTCCCAAGCCAACTTGCCCGAGCCTGTTGAAAAATTGTGAGGCCATCCTCCTGAAAGGTGAAGATAAGTTGAGATATTCGACAAAAAAATACACAAATAAATAACCGGCCGGACAAGTAGAAAAATCACAATTTACTTAATATAACATAATAATTTAGATAAAAGGTTAAATGTAGGACTTTTCCGGCCGGAAAACAAGTCATGAGGGAGGCCGCACAGCGGTAAACCAGCAGCGGTCTTTTTAAAGGGAAATTCCTTATTAAGGAGGCAATAAATTGAACGAAAATAAAAAACTCCCTTACAATAGGTAAAGTGTACTCACTGAAATATTATTAAAATTTACAATTTTGTCTAAAATCTGATAAAAGAGAAGTACTGGAAATGGTATGAAATTACCTTCAATGCCTAATGGATCCACTCGCCTCGTGTTTATCGATGAGGAAGGTTTCATCATTTCGCCCTTCATTTTCGCCACCTTTGCAGATTTTCAACTGGCGGGGAGGGAAATCGTGGAAAATTGTCAATTTTCGCCGAGCAAGATGGAAAATAGTTTTCCCTTTATTCAATTTGCTTTCGAATTGTCCCTTCGACAATGCGCCGTCCTGTGTCGCCGCAAAGTCGCGCTGGTTTACGAATACCCGCGGCGTGGCACGTGGATCAAAACTCTCCTCGAATAAAAAAAATTCTCTACGCTGTCTCTCAGACGAGATATTTTAATAGTTTGATAAGCTTTTAATATTCATAGTGATTTAAAAACTGAATCCGGGACGAACTTTAAACAATTGAATTATAGAGAGATTTAGAGGACCTCCGTGGTTCAATGGTTAAACCATCCGACTCGGTAGACGTCCTGGGTTCGAATTTAGGCACAGCCCAAGGCTTTTTAATTTATAACCAGTGGACAAAATTATCGCGCCATTCTTAAACTTTAATGCATTATGTTTTCTTTTTAAATGTCTTATTTTTGGTATGAATATACCTAAATACAACAAAATTTAACGGTGGCATGTTAATTTTGTACCTCAGTGTATTTAATTCCTTTAAATTGTCGCAATAAAATTAAAATTGCCGGGTGTAAAAATCGTCCTGGTGATGAAGGACATCGATTAGGGCTCTAAATGAAAACTATCGAGATGAAAGTAAACCTGCCGTCGCGCTTCTGTCAAAAGTTGTCAGGTTACCCGGCATCTACAAAAGCAGAAGATTTGACAACAAAATAAGATCCAAAACAACAGATGAACCCGATAGCGAAATGCGTTTTGCTTTCGGCTCTGCTGAGCTTGGCCAAATGCCGCCAGGCCAAAGACGAATACCACGAGGAGCTTTTTATTAAGCCGCTCAACGGCTATGTTTACGCCTATTTCCAGTTCACAACCGTGTGGGAAACTCCAATTAACAATCACACATGTGAGCCTTTTTTTCTGTCTTTTTCCGTATTAAATCAGAGCTTTAGATTTGTTCTTCCATTTGGAACAGTTTTGAAAAAACTCTGTTTTTTTTGTTTTTTTTCTTTACATGAAATAAAACCTTTAAAGGCCTTATTTAACCCTCCTCTACTTCGGTGGTATTAGATCACTCGTATAATAATACTGTTGGGTCGGATCTGACCCCCATATTTTTTAACCATTTTTTTCCCCAAAAACGCTTTGAACTCGTAGAAAATGGATACTAATGCTTCTGTAAAGGAAGAAGATAAAATTAACAGTATTTCAATCAAATATAATTTTTATTTACAGATTAAAATCGGTTCTGGTAACCTCAGTTCTGGTAAATCAGTCTTACAGTTTCAGACTCAAAAAATATAATTCTGTTAGAAAATACATAATTTGAACGTCATATAAAAAATTAACATGAAATGACAAGAAAATAATCACCACCATCACAAAATTTCAAAATCGTAATCACAAACTCTTCATCGTAGGTCGAGGAACAGTCAGGGCAAATCAAAACTTTATGTTCCCCACACATCGATTTTTCACAGTATGCACATTATGAGTTTCCTTTCCTGTCGATCACGCAGAAGTTGCACCGTCTCCTTTTTTTAGTCGTACTATTGTCAGAAGATGCTTCCTGTCTTTTTAGCTTCTTGCCTAGCTGTTCACCCATCATTGCTCTTAGATTCCTCGGAAGACGTTCGTTAGCGAATCTTTTCTCCATCCACGGCTTAGCCAACGCATTGGCTAAATTTTTGAGAATCGTCGACCGTATCGTGTTTAGGTATGGCTAAAATGCAAAAAGGGTTAAATAATAAAAATTATTAGAGCATAAGTTTTACTACGGTGGGGTCGAATCTGACCTACACATTTGTACTACAGTTGGGTCTGATCCGACCAAAGGGGGGATAAGTGAAGAACGGTACATACCTTATCGATGTGATCGAGCCAACAGCTTCTACACGACGGAGGAGGAGGTGCCCATGGATGACAGATTGAAGCGCACTATATGTTGGCTGTGGCGCGTCATAAAAATTTCACCTGGGTCGGCTCCGACCCGCTGTAGTAGAGAATGGTTAAACTTTCCCCATTCTTATCCAGCCTTACCTCTATTTGTCTAATTTTTAATCATTGTACCAGTAATCTCAAGTTCTCTAAGCTTAATGTTACATTTTTTCTTCAAATTATTGAAATCATTGGTGTTTACTAGTAAAGAATCAGCATAGGGCAGACCACATTATCAAAATTAAACTGATTAGACCTAGCTACACCTTAGAAACAGTTCTCATTAAAGATGGCACAGAGCCAAAACAAGAGTGATATAAAAAACTTGTGAGTGAAGACCGACTCATTGCCAATAAAATATGTTTTTACCGACTCAACCGGCATCCACCAAAAACTTTGTGGAACCCTCACTGAATCTACACTCATGGGTTTTTGATATTACTCAAACTTGTTTCGACTGCAGCAGAGCCAATTCCTCACTGAAGATAAGATATAAAAAACTTGTAAGAAACCATTTGATGCACTAAAAAACCAAGTGCAGTGGAAGCCCAGCTTTAAAACTTTCTAGCTCATTCATAACAATTGAAAGCATTGGATTTTTTTCAGTCGATCATTGCCATCTTTTTCCAAGACCTGTCGGTGAAATTCTTCAGAGGCATGACGTCCAAGAGCTCCACGTCAGTCTTACCAAAGGTCTCTGGAGGTATGAGACTTGGGGCTACCCTGTTGTTTCCGCACCGCCTGGAGCTGAATTGTGGACATGGTTCAAGCCCAACACATCTGAGTAAGATTATTCATTGGTTCTTTAGGAAGTCTCACGTTCTATCTAGTAAACTTGTGTTGCTCTATTTGTCATCTGACACAATCAAAATTCCAGTATTGACACTAAATGGAAAGAGCTCACTGGGGCTTTGTCCGGCCTCCTCTGCTCGTCAATTAACTTCATCGATGGGCAGAACACAATGAGCCCGGAGCTGTCACTTAGGCCTTTAGGCATTTCGCCGACAAAAGGGGAACCGATTCTTAAATATTCAAGTCTTCCTCGAGAAATTGTCTGCACTGAAAACTTAACCCCTTGGAAAAAGTTGCTCCCTTGTAATTTAAAAGTATGTCAAGTTTTGTGTTATGCATTTATGATTAGTTCTGACTTTTTTCTTTTTAAAGAGGGGTTTATCTGCTATTTTGAACTCGGACCATATATACAACACAATTTATCACTCTCTAGGAATTCATTTCCGACCAATCTGCATGGTAAGAATTTACCTCAGTGGTAATAAAGCCATCGAGTTAATTACATTTTTTCCCCCAAGGATAAAGAATGTAAGAGAACAGGATTGGAATTAGTGCAGTCTGTGTCTCTTGTTTACGATTTGATAATAGTGCGCCATGCATTTCCACAATGGTCCATACAAAAACTTTTTGGCCAGGGCTTGGTCAAAACTTGCGCCCTTTCAAAATCATCAATGATATACATTGACATAACATCAAATAAGGTATGTATTTTTCAAAAATTCAATTTATTAAAAATTGTATCATTCGATAAATTTTTATTAGACGGACAACCCTTTTATTTTGAAACCAAAAAATTACAAAATAATCGAGAGTACAAGAGGTGCTTATACGACAACTTTAGCTGTTTTTAACATGGAAGAATTGAACTCTCTCATATTGTATAACATTGAAGTCACTTATATCAATGCTAAAAAAATGTACCCAGTCAACATCCCACCAGTAGTTTATGCTAATCGATATATAACAGGTGTGTGTTTCAATTATAATTTTTAAAAAAAATTCTGTTAATGTTTTTTCTCAACAGGCTATGGTCAAGAGTTTGGAGGTGTAACAACAAAAATCCACAACCGCCACTTCCAACCGGTTCAGATATTATTTTTAGAAAACATACCTTGGTTTGTTCCAGTTTATTTTCACTCGTTGAAGATAGAAAGCGGTGGAAAACAAATACAGCCTAGTAAGTTTAAGAATTGAGTCTGTGAGGTTTCTTGATCGTTTTTCTGGTCTGCCTTATTTCGTTTTCTCCCCTTTACCATCATTAACATATAGGCACTGACAACAAATAAGCAGACCAAAATGGCTAAAAATTGTATCATTTTTTAATAACAATTTTAAAAATGTAGTCATGAAGAAGTACTTCCCTGGGAAAGAGAGAAGTCGGCCTTATTACATGGAGCTGCTTGTCGAGCTACCACCTCGTTCGGTCACTTTTATTTCAATCAAATTCGATTACGCCTTCCTCAGGTGGCAGGAATACCCTCCAGATGCAAACCATGGTTTTTACATGGGATCTGCTATGATAACAGCAATGCTTCCCATCGCTAAAAATTACACATCGCCCCCTAGAGACAAATCTCTGTTTGCTGATGGGTTTGTTCTAATTTCACTGTCATTTCTTAAACATTTCTGCTTTTAATTATTATTATTTTCTAGTTTTAATGCATCAAGGCCTAATTACCCTATTCGTGTTACCACTGAGGTTTTGATAATATCACTGCCAACACCAGATTTCAGTATGCCGTACAATGTCATCTGCTTGGCTTGTACTGTAGTGGCTTTGGCATTTGGCCCATTACACAACATCACTACTAAAAAGTAAATATAAAAAACCTACAATTAAAAAAAAAATCATTGTGATATCAGATTAACACTTATATTTTTAGTTTTGTCTTTGTAAAGAGTACAGTCAAGAAAGGACTCATTCGAATCCTCCTGTACACCATATTCGACAAAGTCGGAGAAATCACAGATTGCCTTTACAAGAAGTACCAGGCTAGGCGAGCAACCAAAGTCGAGGAGACGTTACAAGAAAAAGGAGGTACACCTGTGGACAGACAGTCTGACAACGAGAGTGAACATGAACGTAAAGAATGTGAGCAAAGTGAAGAGAAAAATGCTGAAGGTGTTTCTTAAAATACTTTTTAAATGGCATTTTTCGATAATTGAGAAAGACTGCCAAACCGGACAAAAAAAAATGTCCAGACTAATTAAAAAAGGGCTAACATTTCTGTTCTAAAACTAGTCTGATTTGAAAAGGACTATACTTTTGAAAAAAAAAATGTTTTTCACCTCCAGGCTAGGCTTAATTATTTAAAAAAATTTAAGTTTAATTGAAGGTTAATATTGATGTTATCAACAAATCCTAATCTGTGTTGAAAACATGTTGAACGGGCACACGGTCACTTGTTGGATCCAACTCCACTCGCAGGTTTTTGAGTTATTCAAACGTGTTCAGCATTGCACCATCTTCATTGAGGAACAACTTCTTCAAGATGGTGCAATGCTGACATGTGTTTGAATAACTCAAAAACCCACGGAGGAGACAGACCCGTAAGTGATCCTGTACTTGTTCAACACGAGTTCACTGACTTGCAGACTAAACTCAACTCTCGAGTTGAAAAATTAAGGCTTTTCATCTTTTTGCATGTTTAATAATAAAAAAGAGGGATTTGATATGGTGTTAGAAAATTGCTCCCCTAGTACCATTATCGTCATAAACAATTCTTAATAGTATCTTACATTATAAACTTGCTTTAAAACACTATTCAAACACTATTTTTGGTTGTTTACATTACTTATTACTTGATTAGTTATCGTAGCATCAAATGCTGTGACTATGCTAGGCCACCACAGAATCAAACGCCACATCTACAAAATCATTTTTTTTTTTTTTTTTTCTTTGGGCTGGAACACACTTCATCTATCAACCGTAGTATTACGTCAGTTGTCGCTTTTCTTCTAGTACAGTCAAATTGCGTGACCAACAGGGTTATCCGACCCTTAATTGTACAACAAAGGTGTACCAAACAATACAAGGGTAATTTGTGGAGGCTCCCATTTCACAGCCCCCTGTTTTTTTGTCTTTTTGCCAGAGTAAGGTGTAATAAGCTATGTCCGTGATGTGTAACAAACCTAATAAATTATTCTTTGTATTTTTTGTTATTTATAAGGGCTATTAGTTTTTTGTGTTTGTACACCCTCTAGGGGACCTTAAGTGGGAATGCCTGCCAACCTTAATCCCTTAGGTAAAAAAAGCCAGTCAAAGATAAGTGAGTCAAGCAATGGTCATGTAAATAGGGCCGGTGGGTAAATAAACCTGGCTGAGTCTAAGGATGGGACAACGACCTCAAATCATCGATGTTTTAACTTTTATATATTTATTATTGAACCAATGTAATACTTTTATTTATAAGAAAAAAATAGGTGTGTGAGTGTGAAATATATATTTGTGGATTTTAAAAGAATGCTTGTGTTGTGCTTTTGATAACCCTAGTTCATTTTGAAAATAGGTCATCTCTCTCGTGGAAAATTAATTTTCCCGTGCACCAGAATGGGTTAAAATTGTTCAAAACAACATGTTTCTATCCCACAGGACCCTTCGCTAATAGAAAAAAAGATTGGTAACAATTCTTCAAAATTAAAACCTTATAAGTTTTTGTTTCTCCTGTAAAATTTGAAGATGGCCCCTTTTTCAAAATGACTGATTCAATTATATCAGGAGCTCTCAAAGAAAACGAAGTGAATGTGGTCACCAGGCAGTGGGTGTTTGCGACTTATTTATATCACGTCAAATATCACAAGCAGTACACAATGGAATCAGGAGAGATAAAGTAAGGGTGAGTTGTCATGTAGTTGTGCAATTTACGCTTGAAGTAGGCATTTCACAAAACAAGCTTTCATCAGGGCACAGTTACTAGTAAACGAAAATCATGAAATCAGCAACATTCAGCTCGTTGACAGGCTCAGTGTAAATTTCACCCCTAATAACTAATTAATTATTTGTTTAAAATTGACTTTTTTTCAACATTGCACCTACGTAATGTACTTCTAATTCATGGTTTGTTTAATTGACGGATGTGTTTTTGATGGCATTACATTGTACCATTGATTCATTTTACATCTCCTGGTACAGGCAATAAAACCATAACCAGCCCATTTTACATACCTACTTTGGTTAAACCAATTTGACACTGCCATTCCTGACTTTTTTTGCATGCGCATGTAAATGTTAATCTGTATGGAATAAAAATCATAGGGGATCATCTAGAAAGCAACCCGCATAATCCCTGAAAATGAAATAAGAATCCGACAAATTATTTTGGAGATATAGCTGTGTACATGATTTTTCGTTAGTGCATGTTACTAATGGTTTGGGAGTTTTGCCAGTTACAAGGAACCAAATTCGTTCAGAAAGGTCTGAAACGCAAAATGCAAGTGGAAATTTTAATTTTGGAGGACACAAATTTCTGCTTGAATACAAGGCTTTCCTACTTTCTATACTTCAGAAACAAAATTATAACATTATTGCCTTATATTAAAAATTATTTTCACTTCATTTATTTCAACTATATTAAGATGGAGATCCCCACCAATTACTTATTTAATTACTTAAATATTTCTGTTTGATTGCTCATTTTAACCAAGAACAAATACAACCTGTGCCTTAAAGGCAGTTATGGGACGAAGCTCTTTCACACGACAATATTATCTAATGGTTATTTATTGCACCATCCTAAAACCACTTCTTTTAAACCTATACATCAATTACAATTAATTAAGGTTTTTAGTTGAGATAAAAAAAGTCAATGGCACGAGCGGGATTCGAACCCACGATCTTCGGCTAGCTACGCCGCTGCTCTACCACTTGAGCTATCGTGACCTCGATCCACTCGGACACTAATTTCCCATCTCAACCCCACCTTATAAATTTTCCCTCCTTTTTGCCAGTTTTCAAATGTCGTGTTATCGGATTGGATTCTCAGCGACAAATGAAATGGCCATGGAGAGCTTTAGTGAAGTATATTTCATTTTTAATTCATTAAATTCACTAATTCCGTGGTCCGCTTGACCAATTAATATATTACAATTAATTAAGGTTTTTAGTTGAGATAAAAAAGTCAATGGCACGAGCAGAATTCGAACCCACGATCTTCGGCTAGATACGCTGCTGCTCTACCACTGAGCTATCGTGACCTCGATCCACTCGGACACTAACTTCCCATCTAAACCCCACCTTTTAAATTTTCCCTCCTTTTTGCCATTTTTCAAATGTCATTTGTCGCTGAGAATCCAATCCGATTACATGACATTTGAAAATGGCAAAAAGGTGGGGTTAGATGGGAAGTTGGTGTCCGAGTGGATCGAGGTCACGACAGCTCAAGTGGTAGAGCAGCGGCGTATCAAGCTGAAGATCGTGGGTTGGAATCCCATTCGTGCCATTGACTTTTTGATCTCATCTAAAAACCTTAATTAATTGTAATATATTAATAGGTCAAGCGGACCACAAAATTAGTGAACTATACATCAATCTTGTTTCTGCTATGTATCATATTTATTTTGGCTTTCATCATAAAAAATGAATTTTTTCTTAGCAACCAATAATTTCAGCTTGTTTTTGCTTTTATAAAGTATAAAGATGCTTAAATTTCTGAGATATCGTACTGATAAGATTCCAGAGATGGAATTCAGGTAGTATTCTTGTTTTGTTCTCAGCTACTCCTCCTCAGAGTGGCTGTTACAATTGTGAAAAATTAAGATTTATTATTATACAATTCAACATATTTTAGAAAAAACGAACAAATCTTATTTTTTTCCTGGGTGGGAACGGTAATCACGTGGAGTGGTTAGGGTCAGCCTCTAAGCTCGTAATCCCCGTGTTTGTGGGTTCAGTTTCCATCATTGCACCTGGAATTTCCCGCAGAAAATTCAATTCTGTATCAGTATTCAATATCTGTATTCAATTCAACTTGTATCAGCTTATTTATTTAAAGCATGCGATATTTAACTGATAAAAATTTAATTGAAAAACAATAGTCAAGTATAACATTTTTATTGTCTTCCGAAATGGAAAAGGACAATTAAATTGTAGTGGTATAAGCTATTGCTTCTGGTGAGTCTTTGGGAAGGAAAAGATGTCGGGGTGGTTTCGGAGACATCAGATCAAGAACCACGTTCGCTTTCATGTTTGCGAATGTTACGAATGATGTGACATAATCAACTTCGTCGTCTGTCGATATGTAAACTTCAATCCAAGCGATTCTCAAGTCGTCGTTTCTGTAAAGCCAGCAGGGAACACCGACCACATCCGCTAACACCTTGAATAATACAGCTCTTTCAAACTTGTGCCTGTATTCCAGTACGCCCATAGGCAAGATGTAATTTCCTGTTTCTTCCTGGAATAAAAAAAAAAGTAGAACGGGGAGGAAAACATACAAAATTTGGTTTACCTTGAGCTCGGCTTCGTGAAGCTTGACCATGTATTGCGTTACAGGCATTTCAACATCAGTCCCACATGATGTGTAAAACACAACCTTTGCTAATGCTATAATTCGAGTCATCAAATGACCCAATTCACTTTGTGGCCTAAAATAAAATATATCACATATGCGAACTGAAATAAAAATTCATAAACGTACATTTCAAATTCTGTCAATTCTTCCACTATCTGTTCATAATAGTCAAAATAATCTTCCATTTCATCATCAGTGTCAATATCATAATAGAATCTATGGCTAGACAGTTCTTCTTCGCCTTCGCCTACTTCTTCTAAATGGTGGCTTAAGTATTTTATGTTTGGTTGTGAACCATAAATCGGAGGTGATATAAGTTGGGAAAATGCTTGCACTTCGTCGACTTCATCGGGTTCCAATTCTTGGTCCTCCTCTAACTCAAGCGCATAACTCATAAACCTGCTCATAATCTCTTCTTCTTGTTCTTTCTTTAATATAATATTCTCATCGTCAGATTTACCCAACTCTAAAAACAAAGTATTAGACAAACAAATTTTTTGAATCAATATCTTTTATACCTGCGCTTGGTACTCCTCTCATAAACTTTGGTAATTTAAAAATGTATATCGTGTCCTCTGGGTCCAGAGTGATTGGAATTTTATCAGTTATGATTGGGAACGGGTGTTTGTTCTTGTTGTCGTAAATGTCATATGGCTGTTTCAAAACATAGAAGTGGTCGACGTTTGTAATATCTTTGTAATCTAGGTAACCAAGCTGGCTGAATTTCAAAGGAAGATATCCGCAAACAATAGCATTTATTCCAACCCTCAGTAACTCCTGAAGGGGAAGATAGACTTTATCCTGAAGTTGTACAAGCCTGTCAAAAATCAGACATAAACTTTCACTTCGCAAACTTTATAACTCAGGGTGTTACCAATTCAAAAACCCTGATTTGATCAAGTTGATGGCTGTTTTGGAGTAACTTTTTAACAAGTCTACGATCATTGCGATGAGTCCTGTGAGAAGGACTGCCGTACACTTCCGGTTAATAAATGCTTTTGTCAAAGCATCAAAACTGTCTGGTATATTTGCAAAAATATGAACAGCATGTTTGTCCTTAAAGAGTCTACCTAATGCGGCAACGACGTACTCCATAAGCCAATTATCTCCTCCAGGAGAATGCTCCGACTGTAAATTTTGGAGTGGATATATTGAATGAACCTTATCGATTAAATTCACTATTTTTTGTGGTCCTCTTGACCAATTAATACCATTCAATTAATTAAAATTTTCAGTTGAGATAAAAAAGTCAGTGTCATGAGTGGCATTCGAACCCACGACCTTCGGCTTGATACGCCGCTACCCTACCACTTAAGCTATCGTGACTTCTATCCACTTGGGCACTAACTTCCCATCTCAACCCCACCTTTTGGATTTTCCCTCCTTTGGTTAACCCCTAATTAAGGTTTTCAGTGGATCGAAGTCACAATAGCTCAAGTGGTAGAGCAGCGGCGTATCAAGCCGAAGGTCGTGGGTTCAAATCCCACTCGTGACACTGACTTTTTTATCTCAACTGAAAACCTTAATTAATTGAACTTATTGATTAAGAAGCACCACTTACCCTTAAGCACACGACCAGTGATTCGATCGCTAGGTTTTCATATAAAAATCTTCTATAAACTTCTTTCTTTATCAGTGCATATATAATCCTGACATATTGCAACTTAGTGTAATCAGGCATTTCTGTTGGTGATCGAAACAATGCCAAAGTTTTTACAATCAAGTCCTGAAAATGTTTTAAGTAAGAACTGTTTAAAACACATTAAAATAAATTACTAACACAGTGAGGTGTTCTTATAAAAACTTCAGCCAAGATCGGTGACAGTTCTATTGCTGCTGCTATTGCTTTGCAAGCTTCTTCTCTGTGGAACCAGGACTTATCGCCTTGGAGAACCTCAACGAGACTGGGCATGATTTTAAACTTAACGCCCTGCCTCACGATAGTTGACGCTATGTCTTTTTCACATAAAGCCGCTACACAAGTGCAAGCAAGAGTACTTAATTCATTGTGCCCATGAGAAATATAGGGTGATATCCTCGCCAGCATGTTATTGTGTGCAACTATCTAGTAAAAAAAAATTTATAAGTACAAAATATTCAATGGATAATGGGATGTCTTACATGTCTCGAGGTGGGATCCATTGTAACTTTCAAAACCACTTTAAGCGTAGCGATCAACTGTTCAGCATCAAACACATGACCCAAGAATTTTAAGAAAGAATCTAGAGCACCAAGAATTCTCATCTCCTCTAATAAGTTAGGTGCCGCCTGTAGAGCTGTATGCATCTGGACACTGTATGGATGCATTCTTATCAGCATAGGTTTCTGCAACACAACTCAAATATGTTCAGTTTACATGTAATCATTTTTCTTTATAAACATGAAACTTACGTTAAGCAACTCATTTGCTATGTAGATACCCTCAGCCTCTTTGAATGTGTCTTGAATAATATCTTGTCCGACTGTCGCATCCATGATTTGATCAATGAGCCTAATCGAGGCCATTCTTATGTTTTCATTTCTACTAATGCACCCAATCACAACCGGTGTCAATCTAAATTCTTTTAGCTTGAGTATCACCTCCTGTGCTGATGAATCTTTCAACGAGTGTGTCAGAAACTGTATATTATAATCATAAAAGAAATAAAAATGTTAGGTAAATTGTTAAATGTGTTTTACATTTAAAAGATAATGGCGTAAATCGACATCAGGCGAGCATAAAGCAGCAAATGTTTTGGTGTAATCTAAATAAACTGGACCGCAAGCGTTGAGCGTATTGTCCTCCACCAGATTTGCAAGGATTTTCATTGATAATCTTCTCATAGCTAGACTCGGCTCCTAAAAAAAACAATAATTTGTTGAATTACAACAAGAATTTTCATCAATGAATCAAACATACGCTGAGGTACTGGTGATAGATGTCTGCCATGATTTCTGGCCCGAGCTCATAAAAGACACACCTTCCTTTCTGTGTCGACGTTGCAAGAGCTATAAGATAATAACAGTATCTATTGATGGATTCGTACATAGACTGCATCCTTATGTTGAATAGCTGTCCCATGAATACAGCATCCGCAAGCTCTTTGCATAATTCCTCGGACTCTTTTGCATTCACACATAAATGATACAATGTCTGAAAAAGTAGGTTTATTTTATGAAGTTGTATTAAAATGGTGATAGTGGTTCACAATGCAATTTTTTTGGTACCAAAACAGCATACGGAAAAAAGGTGCCTGGAGCACCTCGCATCATTATGTCCCAAAGGGAGTTTATATGTAAAGACCGCTCTGAGGATGTGCACGCAATGCCATCGTCCATCGCATTAGTAAAAAAACCCAATAGATCCACATACGCCCCACGGATGCCTCCACCACTACAACCCCAACCCCTTAAATCCAATTATAAATTTTATTTTGGGGCATCAGTGGTTGATCGGCTAATCACTATAAGGTAACCTGGGTTCAAATCCAGTGGCCCTTCATTCAAACCCGACATACTCACGAATGGGCTTTTTTCTAAAAACACTGGCACTCCGAGGGTTCATATAACCACATAGTTGAAATATACTCGTTAAAAAAAATAAATAAATAAAGTAAATAACTAAAAAAATAAATAAATAAAGTAAATAACCAATAAAATAAAACTAAAGTAAATAACTTAAAAATAAATAAACTTTTATTTATTTTTTTATTTGCTTAATAATACAGACATAAATTTATATTATTATATCAATGAAACATAATAATAAATTATTAAGCCAGCCCTCTATAATTGATACAATTAATAAAATTACAAGATTTGGATTTATATAAGCTCAATTCTGCAGATGTACTACACACATTGTACTACAAACATTTGCCGAATTCGCTTCTTGTAGTCCACTGGTAAATTGCAGTCTGGGAGCAGATATCAGTATTATCCGTCCAGCCATCGACTGTGCTCAGGGGGAGAGGGTTGCCATCCACAGCTAGGTTAATTCAGCACCCAATGCTTGCAGACTCTTGAGAATCACCCACCCCTTGGATTGGCGGTCTGAGGGCAGATATCAGTATTATCCGTCCAGCCGTCGAGGTTGTGCTCAGGGGGAGGGGGTTGCCATCCACAGCTAGGTTAATTCAGCACCCAATGCATGCAGACTCTTGAGAATCGCCCACCCCTTGGGTTGGAGGTCTGGGGGCAGATATCAGTATTATCCGTCGAGCCATTGAGGTTGTGCTCAGGGGGAGTGGGTTGCCATCCACAGCTAGGTTAATTCAGCACCCAATGCATGCAGACTCTTGAGAATCGCCCACCCCTTGGGTTGGAGGTCTGGGGACAGATATCAGTATTTTCCGTCCAGCCATCGAGGTTGTGCTCAGGGGGAGGGGGTTGTCATCCACAGCTAGGTTAATTCAGCACCCAATGCATGCAGTTCTAAACCCATTCGTACTCACGTTCATTCTTAAAGACATTCACTCCCATTTGCATAGCATTCTTTCAATTAGGGTTGTGGAGTACTCCATGAGTACACATATTACAACTAACCTGACTGAGTTACCCATATAACATCACACATTCACGCTAATAGATGCATTCATTCTCAACTCAAGCTAGGTATACTCAACTGTTATTACTATATACAATATAAAAGTCCCTTTCCACCAAGAATCTGAACAGGGGACCCAAATACTCGCTGCCGTGCTCAAGCTCAATTCTCAAATTGGGTGTAAATATAAAGGCATTGGATAATTGTCTTAATATAACAAAAATAAAAATGATATAGTTTATTCAATTCCCATTTACATTCTTTAAGCATAGAGAAATTAAATTAAAAGGAATGATGCTATCTTGATACAAAACAGCAGTTTTGATTTTATTTCTGAAGTCACAACCAAATATACCATATGTTATTCAAACAATTGCAAAAGCAGAACATGAATTTTTTTTAACATTAAATATTTAGTTGAAATTAGAACACAAAATTCCAAAATTTAGGTAAATGCTTACCTCCAACTGAAGAGCCGGCGGGCTTTCATTGACAAGATCGATGAGTGTTCGAAACATGCCTACAGTTACCATTTTGGGCCTAAAGAGCTTCAGTCTGTCGATGGGCTCAAACATGGGCTCATATTTTCCAGCAACGTCAATGTCACTTTTGTATGTCACAGAGTTGATAGATGCCCCACCAAGGGCATCGTCATCGTACATTTCATCGTACATTTTGTCTACGAGTGGGTATGTCTTGAAGTAAGGCTTGTCGTTGGGATCGAAGACTGCCATGAAGAGCTGGTCGTCAGTTCCCGGGGCGCTTAGAATCTTCAAATAGTCCTCGATCTCCTGCAGCCGCCTGTCCTCAGAAAAGTTGACATCTTTGGTAAAGTTCAAAGGCAGGTCGGATTCTTTTGGCTGCAATATTTGAACCCTGCTAGACACAGATGGGATTATGGACTCGGTTAATGTAACGGTCAGGTATTCACTGTCCGCTTCCCATTCAGACAAATACTCTTCCTCGTCGACATTTTCTTGCTGTGGATTTGGTTTGATTGCATTTACTTCAGGCCTGAGGATCATTGCCTCATCGAGATTTAAAAAGTCAAAATCGACAAATCTCGAACCAAAAGCTTTGGAGGGTCTTTTTATGAGAACTGAAGGAAGGAACTTCTCCTGTCGAACACATGGAACATCTCTTGCTTTGCATAAAGTATTCAAACAGCCTCGTCTGTGGTCAGTGGTGATTATGTCAAAAAGTGTATTAGCTTTTTGCAACATTTTCATTTCCGACGACACCTGCTCATGTGTGCACTTACCAAATAGACCGGTTCGAGTACAGTTTACCCTGAAATTCAATAAACAACCTTTTTGTCTAAATTGTTTTCTTTCTTTGAAATAAATGATATAGTAATAAAATACAACTTGATGGTGAGTGTTGGTCTTAGTCAGTTATCACATTCTGTCCCAGCACTTTTGAGTTTGTTGACACATGAGTTTTGATGTTGTTCAAAACATTTTGCTTTCAAGTGCCATCTTCAATGAGGAACTTGGAAATGAGTTCTTCACTGAAGATGGCACAAAGATGATGCACTTTTTTGTAATATCAAAACTAGTGAGTGTAAACAAACCCAGTGTTAGTTATAATATGAACTAAATAGTTGGATTTCCACTAAAGGAATATGTAAATATATGTACTCACTTTTTGCATAAATCTGCGTCATTGCAATATCTTAAATATGTTGATACTGGGCTAAGTTCTTCCGGTTTCATATTGCATACTGCCTGAGTGCAGCTGCACTCTGCTTCTTCTTCAGCATCCTCTTCACTCATATCATCATAATAATTACGGCTGGTATTACGAGGAGAATTTATGTGCTGTTGAATCAGTGCATACTTGTGCAGTGAAATATCTGAAGGCCTTTTGACCTCAAATTTGGCCGCTATCTCCCAGAATTTTTTACTTTTGTGATCCTCACAAAGGAAGCCGAAGTGGAGTGCCCGGCAGTGAGGCTTGGCCTTTACGCACTGTACACAAGGGCCTCGCCACTGAACACAGGCATCACACATCGGACACACCATGCAGTTCATTCCTCTGACACATTTCATACAGTCGCCATTTTCACAAGTGAAATACGTGCATTCGTGATCTTCTTCGTACTCGGATTCAGAAGATTCGCTACAAGAAGATGATTCGCTTGTCGAACTGTTTTCATAAGGATCTGATTCCTGATAGTTTCCATAGATTTTCTTTAAAATGGAATGGTATTTGTGATCTCTGTTACGCTTAACTCTATCGCTCTTTGACTCGTGAACAAGTCCAGAAAAAGGTTGTTTTATAAAAGCCTCGACTGATGTTGCAGTCAGAACACTTCTACCAGGCATTTTTCCCCAAATTTAATTCAGTATGTAAACTATAAAACTTAACAATAAATAATGAAGGAACACGTGTTTCCTAGTCTATTGAGCATGTGTTTAATTCATTATTTCACACTCGATAATGAATTCAGTAAATAAATCAAATGAACTCGGATGCTGTTAATTCCATCCAACATGTTCAAGCATTACGCTAGATGCATTCATGACCCAACCATTATTGTGAACTAATTTATTAAAAACATGTCTTGTAGTAGAAATTCTTAAAATTTCCTATTTAGGTAGATAGATTATATGACAAGTTTATAGCACTTTTTTGCACAAACCTAACCATTTTCCTTGGTGCCTCTTCGTGCCCTCTTCTGGGTATGAGAATAACCTAAGTGTCTGTATCCGGGCTAGTTTGGCAGTGACCATAAAGAGGCTTATAATTTTCCTCAAATCTTTTCTGATGATCTTGTCTCATACCAGATGCTTGTATGCACTGTTTGAGTTTTTCTTTCTGAAATCATTTTTCCAGCAGTTCTGGTCCCATGGGTGAGAAGGCTGCTCGTTTTTGGCTAGGTTATGCCAAGGGCCATTAGGCAATTTAGGCCTTTCCAAGACAAGAAAGAAAATCATACACCATTAGTGTAACATTATAGCCGTTTGACTGTCTGAAAGTATGTAAATCTGTGCACCGTTCGCAAGGGTGTAATTCGGCCAATTTAGCCTCACACTTATAACCTATTCCATCTTGTATACCATATTAGGGTCCATTCATGAATCTTGGGGTTGCCTTTCTTCCTCAGATCTCCATTTCTATGTCCACTTAGAAGGATCTGTCAAAGTTGTTTTATTCTCATTTTGTCAGATACTGTTAAAACTCTCTCTAGTCTTTATAGGCTTTGTAGTTGTCTTACAGTGTTTTTAGCCATCATACTAGAGCTTCATATGTGACTACGGATCAGACTGTTGTGGTGTATGTCCTCTATGCTGGGGGTTTATTTCTCATTTTTTGCTGCATAACCTGCTTAGTCCTCCTTTGTTGTACGATGTCTACATGATTCTACCATTGAAACTTTGGTCCTAGTACATAGTTCTTTGGATAAAGTTCATCTTTTATGGTAGGTGCTTTAAGCTTTATTTTTCTTTTCTTTTAGAAGGATATCGAAGATGTTTTCTCACGGTTGACATTTAAACTCATTTTTTCACAATTTTTTTTTACAATATATAGGGCTTTTGGCACCAGATTTGACAGTCACATTTTTCCGTTTTGATTGTTAACCAGGTCATCTTTGTAAGCTATGGTATGGCACGAAGCTGTTAAGCCAAGTGATAAAATCATCTACTATTAACAATCATAGAAGTGGCGAAAAGTCATATTGCAGAAGATTGCTGAGCAACACAACGCCATCATTGTCTCCACATCTCAGACCTCTGAGAGGACACCATTTAAAGGTGTGGTCAAGCACCCTCAATGTATCGCTGAAAACTGCACCTCTAATGTGACTGTCTTGCATCTCGGATGTTTCACTCTCCCCAAGGTTGACCTGTTATGGTTTTTGAGTGGCTCAAATTCGCGGCCCTTAATTCGTTACGCTAGGCATGCATGGAACTACAGATACAAATTAATTAATGAGTTTAATTTTTGATTTCTATTAAATAACCTGTTTTTCTGTTCTCTTTCGCATTTTGGCAGTTGTTGTTTCCCCTTTTTTTCTTTTTTCTTTTTATTGCATAGGCTATAACTTTTAGTTTATTTTATTGTGTATTTTTTTGTTTCTGATTGTTTAATCAACGACCTCTGGCAGACGGATCCAAGATCCATGGCCTTAAATGCTTTGAAATCTAAATTGTCTTTTTTTCCCCTTTTTTATGTTTAATAAAGCATTATTATTATTATTATTATCATAGAAGTGGCGACCCATTTGAACTATTTTAAATTATGCCTTATAAACACGATGTTTAAATAAACAAGAAATAATTGAGTCAGTGTTTTTGGACGGCTTTAAACATTGCATAGCCTTAGAATTTTTATTTAGTAAAATAACATTGGGCATATTTTAAAAAAATTAAAAGTATAGGAAAAGAAATTTTTAAATGCTTAAATAATATTTTAATTGCTTACTTTTAACAATATAAAAACATTTAATAGTGAATGGTGTGTAAAAAGATTGTAGTTTGGTCATTGCTGATCACATCGGTGCGTTATTGTTGCCCAGGATGATAGGAAATGATCAAACTTCAAGTTCATCATCCCACGGTCCTCAAAAAGAAATCTTTCAATTTAAAAAAAAAGTTAAAAATATATGTCACTTAAAGAATCAAGCATTCTAATAACTATTTTACAGTCCTTATCTTTTCTAAATTATCCAGATATCTCAATTGTTTCAGCGGCAGAGGTTTCCTACGGCTGAAAAAAAATGACCAAACTTATATGTAATTTTAAAACAAAACAAAAACACATTTCAAGTGGACAATTTAATATGTATTTTTAGAATTCATGGGATGAGAGCTTGGACTGACCAATTGTGCCCGAGGTGGTTGTACTCTGTGTGGTACATCCCTGGAGTGGCCATGATCTCGCCAATCGTCGGTCTTATGGTCGGCATCAAGCAATCGATGATCGGTTCGACCATTGGCTTCGGATCTTGGAAGCAAGATCTCGTCTCTGAACACGATTTCCTAGAATAAAAACAAATTCCGTTTTAGGTTTGAGCTCGGTTAGAAACGACCAAACAAAAGATGTGACTTACTGAAGCGAATTTTCATATTTAAAGGTCTTAAATAAGCTTTGGGCGCCCTTGTCAATGAGTTCTACTTCTTTAGGCTTAGGTGGAAATCCAGGTTTGACAAATACCTCAGATGTTTTGAATTTATCGATCACTTTCTAGTTAATAAATTGTTTTTGTTATATCCTGTTTGATTTTATAAATAACTAGCTTACTGGCTTGTGATGAACATAATCCAAGTGATTTGTGCTCAAATAAATATCTAGGTACTTTCCATATCCAAATTCTGATGCATCTATTTTAGCCACATCATCTCTTGTCAGACCTTTTATCTACAAAAACGCTAATGAGATTTAACATTTAAAGTTAAGAGAAAGCTTGCTTATTGCTGAAAATTATTTGAACTGTTAGGGCATTAATGGAGGTAATGAAGTTGTTCAATTTGTGAAGACATTAAAATATTAATATTTTACGTAAGTATTTAATCTTTAATATCTTGAAGAGTTCAGTGCGAATTAATTCAGGTTTTTTGAAACTTAAAAAATACATGAAATGTTTTAATCATTCTTCTTTGATAAAAACAACCAGTTTCATTACCGAGCAGTACAATTGTTTCTTTTGATCCTGAATCACACCACTTAAATTTGGCTCAGTATGCTGTTGATACTTGTGTTTGTATTCTGAAAATCTTGTCATTTGCTTTGGCATCTTTGTCCTGCACTGAAAGCCATTGCACATTTGAATAATTTGTAGGTACAAAAAAAAAATTAACTTACCTTTTCATCGAATTCATTCAAAAAATTGAATTTTCTGAAAGCAGGCATGTAGTTTTGGTTGAGTGGATCCAACACTTGGTATTTCCAATCGTAGAACCTACCGTACGTAGTCGAGTAGTTGGTGAGCATCACATCCCTCTCCAATTCTTTCGGAATGTCACATTTGGGAGGCTCTGTGGGCTGAAACAACCGATAAACCTATGCAACGCATTTTGGCTGATTTTGCTGTTACCTCGACATAGAAAGGAGGAGGAGTCGTTTTTGGAAAGGCAAACTCATACGAAGTCTTGTATGTACAGAAGTCCTTCGCCGAGGTCCAAGGTCCCGGTTTTTTGACATTGTCACCATGCAACCTCGGCCACTCATAATCAGGCTTTATTTCTGGCATGCTTATGTAAAAAGAAACAACATAGAAATAAAAACTAAATTAGCTAACAACAAATGGACAGCTGATCACCTAGGGAATAAATCTGATTACTGGTAACTAGGGAACATTAAACAAGAATTTGTTTTTTTTTTTTTTTTTAATTAAAAAGGCAAGCCACTAAGGGTATTAATGTACCTTGAACATAAATATGTTTAGGGTGATGATGAACCTGGCATGAGGAAAGAGGCCCCGTCAGGACTGCTGATGGCCTCAGCCCCATTCATGCCTCATCTTTTACGTTTTAGAGAATAGACTAGCCATCTGCAAGAAATTAGTTTCTCTGCACTGAGCATCATATAAAAAATTTGTCCCAAAACACCACATGTGCTCATCTCTGGCTCAAATCGAGTACAGACAGTAAGAATACTTTCTTTGACTGTTTGCAGTTCCTGACAACCTTGGCAGATCGGAGGAGGTTCTCTCGCCATGAAAAAACCATGCATGAGTCTGCAATGACCTATTCTGAGGCGAGTTAGTTTCTTCCTTTCAGGAGGTCCAGGAGGCGGTGGACCATTGTTTTACTATGTCTTCTTTATGTCTCTCAGCTTTTTAAGGGTCATTACACACCATTCGTTATGCCACTTTTCCCAAATTGTTCTCTTTATATGGGCGAGAAAGTTTTTTTTATTGTACCAACATAATGTAAATTTTCGCTTAATATAAAATTGGTTTAAAAAATGATAAAAAGAAAAACATTTATATACAAGAAAACGTGTATTTTTTTTATTTCCCCCCTTTACTGACACCATCACTTTGGCAACTAAAATCCCATTCTATTTTCTTGCTAGTTAAAAAAAAAAAAAAAAAAAAATGGACTAAGAGGTACAAAAATAAGCCAGAGTACAATTAAATATTTATTAAATTTCATAAAATAGTTTCATATTATATACATCTTTTTAAATTTCAACAATTCACATAAAGCTATAAATTTTCACCGTTAAATAGTAAATGGTATCACTTGAAAGGAATTATCTCCACCCTTGGCTAGTTCCTTAATTTGCCCTTCATCTTCCGGCTGTTGAACCGCTTGTACTTTACAAGCACGACGTTCAGCTTGCGCAGAGCCTGGTGCGACAGGTTTGAATTTGTCTCCAACTCCGACATCGATTCTGCTACCTCGTTCAACTAAACCATAAAAACAAAACAGTCTGTGTTAACAAGTTATTATAGTTTTAAAAAAAATTATTTGATTTATCTGAAATTTGGTCATTAATCATCATTTTGGACAGCCTATCCTCACTGGCAGATGTGTTTTATTATTTTGCCATCTACAGAAGTCCCTTTAGTTTAGCAAAGAAAAAAACATACCAAAATGATCAGTCACAACCAAATTTCTAAATAATTGCTTATAAAACTTTTAGAGATCGTTTAAAGCTGTACCACTTAGATAACACTGAATCTACCTAGGATCAATTTACATTACTTATTTATTTAATGGGTAACCATACCCTTTTTTTATATGTTCAAAATGTAGAAACTTAACAGTTTACAAAGTAAAGTGAAATTTACAATGAAAAAATATAATAGAAAAGTACATCTATAAAATTTATAAGAAATAAAAATTAAAGTGTTGACACAATAATATAAAAATAAGATATAAATTAAAATGTATTAATATAACAAATTAACAATAAAATTGTTTTGATAAAAACAACAATTAATAATAATAAAAATAAATCAATATAATATTAATATGATAAAATACTTGAACCAAACTAGAAATATAATTAAAAATGCAGAGAGGAAAAATGTTGTGTGCCAGCTATGACCTAGCTGTTTGCCAGCAAAAAAAAAAAAAAAATAATAATAATTTAAAAATATATACATATGCATATTTAAATATAAAGAAAGTTAGTAATTTTTGTGGTGGCCATCGGCAGCTGCAAAGGTTTAGGCGTCGTCATAGCGCTTATTACTGTAAGGTAAAGGTCCCGGGTTCAAATCCATCAGCCCTGCATTTGAAGCCAACATACTTGCAAATGGGCTTTTCTTCAAATACACCAGCACCCCTGAGGGTTCATATAACCTAGTAGTTTAAATACCCTCGTAATTTTTTGTATATATATATATATATTTATTTATTTATTTTTTTTTTTTTTGAACTGGTCGAGAGAGTTGTTAAAGAAGTCAATATTATTATATATTTTTAAATTCACTAATTTCGTGGTCCTCTTGACCAATTAATATACTACAATTAATTAAGGTTTTTAGTTCAGATAAAAAAGTCAATGGCACGAGCGGGATTCGAACCCACGATCTTCGGCTTGATACGCTGCTGCTCTACCACTTGAGATCGGGACCTCGATCCACTCCGATACTAACTTCCCATCTCAACCCCAACTTTTGAATTTTCCCTCCTTTTTGCCATTTTTCAAGTGCCATTGACTTTTTTATCTCAACTAAAAAACCTTAATTAATTGTAATGTATTAATTGGTCAAGTGGACCATGAAATTAGTGAATTTAATGATTAAAAATGAAGGGGAAAATGGCAAAAAGGAGGGAAAATTCAAAAGGTGGGGTTGAGATGGGAAGTTGGTGTCCGAGTGGGTCAAGGTCACGATAGCTCAGGTGGTAGAGCAGCGGCGTATCAAGCCGAAGATCGTGGGTTCGAATCCCACTCGTGCCATTTACTTTTTTATCTCAACTAAAAACCTTAATTAATTGTAGTATTATATATTTTGTTTCCAAGTCTGGTAGAGTCTGTCGATAGGAGAATGGTACAGGTACTTGATGGTAGAAGAAGGAGAGGAGAGAGTGAGCAGAATTGGGTTTGGTGAGTGGGGATGCGGAAATTTATTACTTGAAGTAACTCTTCGGAACATATCTTCTTGTTAATTAGTTTATACAAGAATAGAAGCATCAAGAGTAACATGCCGAGAGAGAAGTGAAATTAAACTTGCTTGCTGCATGATGTCAATGGGTACATCATAATAGGATACCCATTTTGCTGCAGCCTATTCACTCAAGGAATTTGTGCTGAATTTGTTCTAATAATTTAACAAAGGTATTGTAGTGTAGTGTATTATTAATTACAAAAAGCAGTTTATGACAAAAAGATAGCTGCAACTTTGGAATCCCTTCTGACTCATTTAATTTTCAGTTAAACCTACAGAACCTCAGCTGAAGATTCAAAATGAAGAAAACAATCAGTGAAAATTGACCACCAGGATGATCAGGAATGATAAAACTGCAGAAATATAAATACAAACTGTATACCAATCTCGCATTAAGCATAGTCAAATCCTTACAAAACAGAATTGGTATGTACATGATATTTTTGGGACAAATGACAAAGTATTCAAACAATCTGTGTTCTTTTAGAACACCGTCTTTTGTAGCATCTTTAGCAATAATTATAATTACATTGAGCTGTTAAGGTTGAAGTCGTGGTGATGAATCTGTAGCTTGATTATCTCTAGTAATCCGGTTTGCCTATCGATATACAAGTAATTCTTTGTTTTTATTTATTTTTCAATTGTTTTACTTATCTATTTGTCAGAGTTTAGCATTCAACCTTTGAACCATAAATTCAAGTACACATGACGACATGCTGGTGCAACATGTTGAAGAATCCAGCATACATTATACAAATTTGAATTTATTTTCTTTCTGGTTGATTCTGCTCGAAGTGATAACAAACAACTTCGATAGGTAGCCTCCAGTGAGTGTAAACTGAAGGTTCATCTGAACCGATAAGATTGGTGGTTGACACACAGACTTAGGTTTGTTGCATGCAGAGAAAATTTGCTCGATGTGTCCCCCTTACTGAAGCATTTCCTTGGCTCCATATAGAGAGCATGTAGGAATGACACCTGACATGAGAATGGCAGTGAGTATGTAGGTTTTTGGAGTCTTGAGGAAGCAGGTTGTTTTTAGATTTGTGTCCCTAGCATGTCTTGAGAGTGAATGTGTAGTGTGAGAAGGCCAATGGCAGAATAATGAGTATGCCCTCAATTAGGTCAGTAGTATATACATAATATAGCAGCAGTAAAGGGTAATGGAAGAATATTGAGTACACCACCACCCTAACTGATTGTATCTAAATAAGCACGAATGTATCTAAGAATGATGTATGAAATTGATTATGCTGTGGGCTTAAATGACCTAGCTGTTGGTAGTGCATGCAGCCCAACATCGGTGGCCCGAAGTATGACCCCAAATAACCAACACCCAGGGAGAGTGATTCTCAAGGCTTGCCGGTAATTTATTGTAAATTACAAAAGCTCAAATTGCCATTGGTCGGTGAAAATTGATAGGTCTCTGAACAACCGTAGAACACGAAGAAGGAAAATGCAATAGAACATATCTGCATAGAACATATCTGAAAATGTGAACATAACAGTTGGCCAAGATGATCAGAGTTAAGCAAACAACTGATCTTATCAGTATGTTTATAATGCCAAACCGATTGTGACATATCCAAAAACCAAGGCGGGAAGGAATGATTAAACCAAGACAGTTAACAGGTGCCTTGCCACCTGACGGATTGATGCTGTTAAATAAAGGAAATTAAGATTGTGGTGTATTGCAAGTGCATGTTTATCGGAGAGACAATTGCTAAAAAATGGACCATATAAAACTTAAGATTACAAGTGACACTGCACTACTGCAGCCCAGGAAGAGGCATCTCGCCATACTCACGAAAGTGTTGTACATCTGGAATCTCTGGGCTTTTTTGTTCTGCTCGTAGAGGACTTTGATGTGCTTTGCCATGATGACCAGGCCGATGAGGACGCAGGCTATGACTGTGACCGAGGGCAAGGAGACGGTACGACGCACGCAGAGCAGCATTGCCGCACAGTCATTGTTTTATGTTTTTCGACGGAAACAATCTTCGTCACGTCGACGAAGCCTGGATTTATGAGTCAAGTTTCAACCCGAAGGGTCATCCACGACGCGAAAACAAAAATAGCATTTTAACGGAGTCTGGATGTAGGACACAACGGAGATAAGAGGGCCGAGAGTCGATTCCTGCTTTTCCTCCAAGGAATCGATGGCATCTCGACAATAAGACGGTTTGAATTTCTATTTTAACTTAATACT